TTAACTAGCAAATTTTTGGAAGTAGATTGCCAGGTCTTTCTTTCTAATCCATCTTAGTCCGGAAGCTTGCTGAAACCTGTTCAGCATCACAGCAACATGCCAGCCTCTACTGACAAATGGGTGGTGGCTGAATTACCCAGTTATATATTTTCATCACAGCACTTGACACTGTCTGCAAATATCTTGCTGGTGTACTTTTATAATCATTGTGTCTGTTAGAATGGCAGTTCTATGAAGGTGGGGACCTTGTCCGTCTTGCTCTTTGTTTACAAGCTGTAGGTACTGATATAAATGCTTGTTGGATGAATGAATGAATGAGCAGATGGCAAGATGGCTGAATATGATCCTCTGAAAGGGCTCACTCATTCGAACCAACATTTATGGAGCAGCCGCCTTCAAGGGAACCATTTCCTTCCTTATTATCATCAAATGGAGATGCTCCCAGTCTGACAGCGGAAGAGGAATATCCATGTGAGGAGGGGAGCCTACTCTTGTGTTTGAGAGTCACCTTGTAGCACAGCTAATATCCAGCTACAACAATTAAACTAGGTTCACAATAACAGAGGAAAATAAACAAAAGAAACACATTGCTGCCCAGTCAATTCCAACTCACAGCGACCCTATATAGGACAGAGTAGAACTGCCCCATAGGGTTTCCAAGGCTGTAACCTGTATAGAAGCAGATAGCCGCAGCTGTCTCCTGTGGAGCCACTGGTGGGTTTGCACCGGAGCTCTTAACCATTGCTGGCAACCAGGGCTCCTTACAGGGAGTAACAGTACCTGGATAATCTAGGATTAAACGTAGTCTTCCTATTTTCAGCCTAGGATTCCTCCCTGTGGTTGGAAATATGTGGCGACATTTTTTGGTTAGTACAGGGAATAGGGGGCGGCTGGGGGAATACCTGCATTTTTAGTTCGCTTTCCACAGACAAGCCAAAGGCCCTGCAGTATGCAGGACAGTCCCGTTCAAGAAAGAACGGTCCCACCCAAAATGCTGTTAGAATCCCTTTGAGAAGCCCTTTGGTTTGGTACCTCCTGGCCAACCCAGCACTGCGCCCCCATGTGGCCAGACTCTATTTTATTCTCTTTCCCCAGGAGGTGGTCCAGATAGCTTGAGTTCCCACTCCTGCATAAGGCCTGCTTTGTGAGTTCAGGTTTTCCAACTGGGCACCTGTCTCTTTCCAAATGACCACCAGAAAGAATGCCCACCCCTTTCTGGAGACAGCCCATCTCACCCACCCTATCCGAACAATACAACACAACCTAGGAGGGCCATCATTCCCAGAAGAGATACGAATATCTTTTGGGTGCTGGGCAAGAGAAAGAATCAAGGTTGACCTAGGAAAGGCCAGCCTAGTACTGGGGACTAAACAGACTTAAAATATCTGCTATCCTGTAACCGAATGCTGTGTCCTTTGTGAATACTTATACTTTGTGAATACACGTGCACACACACATGCACACACACACACACACAAAACAAAATCAAACCTGTTGCCCTTGAGTGGATTCTGATTCATAGTCACCCCATATTTTACAGAGTAGAACTGAGCTCCATAGGGTTTTCTTGGCTGTAATCTTTACAAAAGCAGATTGCCAGGCCTTTCTTCTGTGGTGCCACTGGATGGGTTGAACAGCCAACCCGAGAGCAAACTGTTTGTGCCACCCAGGGACCTGAAGACTTATAAAGGGCCTGTGAAATGTTCCCTGAAACGATTCCCTAGTTTGTGCTTAAAGGAGTTTTTCTTTCCTCCAGCTGACCTAACTGGACAGCTATTTTGTAAATTGTCTTTGGGATACGATTTATTTTGTAAACGCCTTGTATCACATAAAGGCATGCAACATTGTTTTTTGTCTTTTTTTTTTTTTTAATTTTGTAAGACTTTTTTTTTTAATTGTACTTTAGATGAAGGTTTACAGATCAAACTAGCTTCTCATTAAACAATTAGTACGCATTGTTTTGTGACATTGGTTGCCAACTCCACGACACATCAACACTCTCCCCTTCTCAACCTTGGGTTCCCTATTACCAGCTTTCCTGTCCCCTCCTGCTGCTCATCCTTGCCACTGGGCTGGTGTGCCCATTTAGTCTCCTTTTGTTTTATGGCCCTGTCTAATCTTCAGCTGAAAGGTGAACCTCAGGAGTGACTTCATTACTGAGCTAAAAGTGTGTCCGGGGGCCATACTCTCGGGGTTTCTCCAGTCTCTGTCAGAACAGTAAGTCTGTTTTTTGTTTTTTTGTGAGTTAGAATTTTGCTCTACATTCTTCTCCAGCTCTGTCTGGGACCCCCTATTGTGATCTCTGTCAGAGCATCAGTGGTGGTAGCCAGGCACCATCTGGTTGTGCTGGACTCAGTCTGGTGGAGGCTGTATTAATTGTGGTCCATTAGTCATTTTGACTAAGCTTTCCCTTGTGTCTTTGGTTTTCTTCATTCTCCCTTGCTTCATATGGAGTTAAGACTAGTGGAGTATCTTAGATGGCCGCTCGCAAGCTTCTAAGACCCCAGACACTACTCACCAAAGTGGAATGTAGAACATTTTCTTTATAAAATCAGTTGTTATGCCAGTTGAGCTAGATGATCCCCAAGATCATGGTCCCCACAGCCCTCTGCCCACTAATTTGGTCCCTCAGGGAGTTCGGATGTGTCTATGGAGCTTCCATGACCTTGCCTTGGACAAGTTGTGCTGGCTTCCCCAGTTTTGTGTAGTTCATGCGACATCGTTTTTGCTGACCAGACTAAGCAGGTGTAAAAATGGTGTGGGGGCAGTGTCTGACCTCCTCTAACTTCACAAAGGAGAAGGAGAATCAAGATCAACAGCCCAAGGCTGATTCCTATGAGGCAGAGGTCAGATATGCCTCCTCTCTCCACCATCTTTACCGATTCTGACATCAACCGTCCCTCCACGGTGCCCTCTACTTCTCTGCTGAGTTCAATAATTCATTGCAATGGCCACACAGAACTCACAGACAATACTCAACAATTATGGAGTTTATCAGGGAAGTAATAGGTTACAATTCAGGTTCAGGAAGACTCAGGATACAGTTCTTCCATCAGGACAGACTCAGCCCAGCCGTGCTCACCGGCACGCCAGCAAGCCTCCTGCCCACAGGCACTCAGCTTTCTCACTCTGTGGGCCGGGAAGCCCACCACGCTGTCTCCTGCCGTCCTTTCTCTGCCATGGCTTCTCGAGCTCTCTCTGTCTCAGTCTCCTGGTTCCAGGAGCTTCTCGGCGCAGGGATCCCGGGTCCAAAGGATGCACTCTCTACTCCTGGTTGTTTTTCCTTGGTGGTAGTGGGATCCTCTCCTTCACGCCTCTGGGATGGCTCATTCAAGCCCAGAGGGATGGCAAAAACTGACCAATCCCCTTGGTGGGACATAATTACCCTATTTGCACATTCTCACCCAATCACTTGGGTGGGAGTTACAAGACCATGGCGAGAAAGGCCACACAAAGCAATTTGTTGCAACCACAGCAGGGCTGCAGATAAAAGATATTTACCTCCATTTTAGGAGAAGCACCAGACTTACACTTTGTTAAAAATGAAAGCAAAGAGTTTCATTGAGGAATAGAGAGATTCGGGAATCAGGAGATACTGTACCACTCTAGCAGAGTTCAGTAGTGCTCCAAAGTGTAGGAGGGGAGTGAGATTTTTACAGGATGGAGTAAACAAGGTCTACCTGCTCGCAGGCACAGCGAGTGCATGGCAAAAGTCACAAAAGGGGTCGTTAAACAACAATATTTCTTAACAGTCTTTCTTCACATCAGCAATTCTACCTGTTAACATTCTGAAACATTCTGAACAAAGCATTCTTCCCAGTACCTTTGTGTGGACTTTTCGTAACAAACTTTCATCTGGCCCCTTCCTCTTATCTTAAACTAACAAGCTATGCTTCAACCCTAATTGCAGATTTATGAAGAGTCGTGTGAAAAGCAGAAGTGAGGCTAAGGTCTTAGTGAGTGAACCAAAATGGAGTCTGATTTAGGTCTGGGTCAGCCATTCTAGTTTTGCCAAGCACCTCAGGTTTAGGGTTTGTTGACACACCTCCTTCCAGAATCCGTTCTCCTGTCACAAAAATTTTAACCTTGTCCTTGAGAAGTGCACGTTAGCAGAAACATTGTAGAATGCTGCAAAAAGAATAACTTGAGATAACCAGGAAAAACTGTTCACTTTATTGAACGGAAAGGAATAGTGTTCACTAAGTTTCCAACACAACCCACGGTTTATTCTTCATATTCCCGGAGGTCGCAGCAAATATTTATTGAGCACCTACTATGTGTGTAATAAATTGTTGACCCAAAAGATTGCTTATTGCATGAACCACACATGTATTAGTATATTTTAACACATTACTAAATAATTCCTATCCACTACTGTTTATATTATAAACGTTTCACTAAAATAGAAAAATTTTATATTAAAAACTGGAAAAACGTCTTGCTGTCATTAAATGAGTAAGAAAGCTTCATTATTTCAGTTGCTCCAGCTGCCGGCCTTCAGTGACGATAGGGGAAAAAAATGGAAATGAAAATCACTTGTTAGCAACACCCCCTTCCAAAAAAAAACAATCCCGTCGACTTTGAGTCGATCCCAACTCATAGTGACCCTACAGGACAGAGTAGAACTGCCCCTTATGGTTCCCAAGGAGCAGCTGGTGGGTTCGAACTGCCGACTGTTTTTTGGTTAGCAGCCAAGCTCTTTAACCACTGCCTCACCAGGGCTCCATGCTCCCCTTCGTTGTGGGAAACATATTTGAAGTAACAGAGTTTTGTTTGTTGTTAAGATTTCACTAACGCGCCCAACTAGAGCTACCCTTCCCGGCAAGTGCACCGGGAGACAAGTTTTAGGAGTTCTTTCTAAGCCAAAGGTTCTTAAAAGGCTAAATTCTAAGCGAGTCTGAAGGTCTGCGCACTTTCCGGGGTCAGGTTTGCGGTGGCCCTGGCGCCACCTAGCAGGAAGAGGCGGAGTAGTTTAAAAACTTCGGCGGGAAAAGGCGCCCGGAAGTGCCCGGCGTCCTCCCCGACCGCGCTCGCCGACGCCAGCGTCCCCCGCGCCATGCCTGCCTCCGGCTCGGAGTCGCCGCCGCCGCCGCCCGCTGCGCAGGAGCCTGCGCCGCGGCCCCATGGCGAGCTGCAGTACCTGGGCCAGATCGAGCACATCCTCCGCTGCGGCGTCCGGAAGGAGGACCGCACGGGCACTGGCACCCTGTCGGTGTTTGGCATGCAGGCGCGCTACAGCCTGAGAGGTGACTGCCCGCGCCCGCGCCACGGCAGGGTGGGCTCGCCAGGGGCGCCGTCCGGGTTAGGCTAAGGTGCAGGAGACGCAGGCCCCGTGGTGAACGCGTTCGCACGTTTAGTCCTAGCTGCAGCCCTAGGATGTAGGGACGCATCCATTTTACAAGCGCCGAAACTGAGGCTCGGATTTGATGCATGATTTGCGTAGGGTCACTCAGATGGGAGTCACAGAGCTGGGAGGTGAAACCAGGTCGTTCTGGCTCCAAGGCCTGTGCTTTTATTCACCCCACTATGCTGTCTCCGCAAAGATGGATAATCTAGTTAATGTTCGCCCCTATACCAGAGGGGAGGACGGATCGCCTGGGCTTGTCCTAGTGGCTAACCAAAGGTCGGCCCCGTTTTTGCCCCTCCTCCTCCCTGCCTTCCACCTGCCACTCCGATTTGCAAAGTCGTTAAAAACGGAAGGGAAGGTTACCGGCTGGGCGGTGGGAGGACAAGGGAGAGGACCGGCGGGGGGCAGGCGGGCGGGACTTGGGTGGTCACGGTTTTCCAGTTCCGGACAGTTTCCCATCGAGCTTCCACAAACCAGCTTTCTTGAATGAATGACCGAAGAGTCCGAGGAGGAGTTTTTATTCGTCCTTTCCCCTTTTCCTTTGAAAGAGAGCGGCCCCTAGGAAGAGGTGTCCCAGGATGGGTAGATGCCCTGATTACGAAGCTCAGAACACCTAGGGTGGGGTTTTCAGCAGACAAAAGGGGCGGGCGGGGGAAGAGGACAGGACATTAGGCAGGAGATAGACAGCCCTTCCCCACTGTCCTGTAGTCGGGCCACCCCTTTGCCCTGGACTGAGCACCTGCTTCGTACGGGAGTGGCCTCCTTGGAGGTTTTTAAGAAAGGGGGTAACATCAGATTTCTATAGAGTTAACACTAGATGTCCCTACGGTTTTCACAGTCTTTTGGAAGTGGATCCCTAAGCCTTCTTTCTGAGCTGCCTCTGGGTAGGTCTGAACCTCCAACCTTTAGGTAGTGGAGCACTACGCCACCCAGGGACTTCCTACACGCATTCTAGAGACTGAAAAATACTGAGCAGCTGTGACTGATGGGTCTGACGCAGCCCCAGAGTTCTCTCTGAGCAGAGAGATCCACCTTCCTGCAGCTCCCAGTGTGGTGGCCTCCGGGGAGCCACAAACCTGCTTTTTGAATCCAGCCCCTCTGCCCTGACTAGCGGGGCGGGGGGGAGGCTACTTACCTCGCTGGTCTTCAGCTTCCTCGTATGTCCAAAATGGAGGAAACAGTGCTCAGTAGGCAATACTGATAAAAGTAGGTGCTTGAAAAATATATCCTTGTTACATGAATGTTGACTGTACAACTGATAATGAGGGTTGAGTATGTACTGCATTTAGAGGGAAATTTAACGTTTTTATTTATCACTTGATGCCTCCCCTCCCACCCTTCTAGCTGTAGCAAACTTCCTGATTGCCCGTGGTGCCTGTAACATGCAGATCATAAGGGTACTTCACAGTTGTTTTGTAGAATTAAATAGGATCGTGCATATGAAGTGTTTAACTATTTTTGGTACATTAAAAATACAGGGGTTAATTTGCTTTGGAGTCCCTGGGTGGTGCAAATGGTTAAGCATTTAGCTACTAACTGAAAGGTTGGCAGTTCAAGTCTAGAGATGCCTTGAAAGAAAGGCATGATAATCTACTTCCAAAAGATCATAGCTATTGAAAACCCTGTGGAGCACATTTTACTCTGACACGCGTGGAGTCAACATGAGTTAGAATCGACTTGATGACAACTGGTTTAACTTGCTTTACAAATATTTAAGTTATATTTTTGGCCAGTGTGATATTACCTACTGTCCCCCGGTCCTGAGCAAATTTTCTCTGGCAGGATAAACATGGAATTAGTCCTGAGAGCCTTCCGCTTCGTCCTGGGGCGTATTTTGTGCTGTCTTCACTCCTCTTCCACAGAGTCCACACTAACTAGGCAGTCAATAGGACCTATTTCCCTTTCCCTTTTCCACATGGCTATCCCTGCCCTCACCTCGCTCCCTTTCAGTCTGTGGGATTCCCAAGTCCAGCGTTGTGGGGGTCGGGAGGGCTGTCTAGGTCTGAGTTGTGCCCCTGACTTGCCGCTGCAGCCCAGGAGCCCGACCCTCACCCATGATGCCCGCCCGTGGGATTGCAGCCTTTCAGATGCTCCTGTGGTGACTCCAGGCCTTACTTCCCGGGGCAGTTTGCTTCCACAGAGAAAGTTGGATGGCGTGTCCTGTTTGCCACCTTCACATTATGTAGTAAACTGTTTTTCAGATGAGTTTCCTCTGCTGACAACCAAGCGTGTGTTCTGGAAGGGTGTTTTGGAGGAGCTGCTGTGGTTTATCAAGGTAAGAACTTGCTCCTATTGGAGCAGCCGCCAGCAAAATCCTTTTATAAGTCAAATCATGTCACTTCCCGGCCTAAAACCATTAGTGGCACCCATTTCATTAGTAAGAGCCAAGGGCCTTAGGGGGACTTGTGAGGCCCCCATTACAGCTTTGGGCTCAGCTGCTGCTTGTTCACTGGCTCTGCTCCACCACGCTGGCTCCTTGCTGATCTTTGAGCGCACAGCGACATTTCCGCCTGCTGCGACATTTCCACCTGCCGCGACATTTCCACCCAGGACTCCAGCACTTGCCATTCCCTCTCCCAGGAACCTTCTACATGTGACTTTCTCCCTACTGCCTTCAAGTCTCTGCTCAGTGACTCTTCTCTGACCTCTGTGTCTAAGACTGATTCTGCCCCAGCACCCTCTTCCACCCCTGCTTTATTTTTCTCCATAGGCTTTATCATCATCTAAAGTATAATGTCTGCCTTTTTCCTTCTAGTGGGGGAAGGCAGACAGTAAAGAAGTAAAATGTATTGTAAGCTCCATGAGAGCAGAAATATTTTTCTCTTGTTCACTGTTCTAACCCCAAGGCCTAGAACACAGCCTGCCACATAGGAGACAGTCTGCGTATACTGAACACTTAGTATAGATGCCAGCCATGTTCTCATGTTTATATAAACTAGAAGGGCTTCAGTAACAAGACATATCTTCTCCAAAGAGCTGAATAGGTACCTTTGGTAAGGGCTGGAGTTCTGTAATGGTGGGCAGCAGCCAACCCACAAGCTCCTCTGGCTTCTCTCTCCGCCTGCGTCCTGATCCAGAACCAGGGATGCTCTGGCTGGTGCTGGTGGGAGAGGTGCCAGAGGAGACAGCTTAGTTCTGGCTGTGCTAGAAGCTGGGATCCTTCCGTGCAGTGCAACGAGGTTCTCTTTATATAGGGCCTTTCTGGCCCTGGGTGTGTGGTTCTGCCACAAGATTTGCTAGGCCACAATCTTCCAAAGGTATTGGACTGTTTGCTATGCAAATAAGGTACATAAACACTTGTGGGGATTGGTCAATTGCTATGCAAATTAGGTGACTGGCCTACCGAGGGGATTGGTCAGTTTGTGGTCTTAGTGGGAGGTGTAAGCTTATAAAAAGCCAATCCCACAGAGGTTGAGGGGGACCTCACTACCATCAAGAAGAGCTGGGAGAGGAGCATGTTCTTTGGACCTGGAGTCCCTGTACTGAAAACCTCCTACACCGGGAGACAGAGAGAGCTATTAACATTGGAGATGGTACAAGAAGGTGAGAGACTGTGCGGCAGCGGGAACCAGGAGACCAGTGCGAGATGGGTGTGGTGGGCTTCCCAGCCCATGAAGCGAGTCGACTGTGGTGGGCTTGCCAGTCCATGGAGTGAGGCAGCTGTGGTGGGCTTACCAGTCCATGGAATGAGAGAGCTGAGCTCCTTCCTGCAGGAGGCTTGTTGGTGGAATGGGGTGCCTCCAGGCACTTGTTGGTGGAGATAAGGAGCTGTGAAACTTGCCTGAGCAGGGCAGAGCCAGAGGCCCAGTGAGGAGGCCAGGCTGAGAATGCTGCAGGCATGGCCAAGGAGGAGCTGAGAACTGTCTTGGTTGGAAGCTGCCCTGACTGATGAGCTAATCCTGTCTTACATTGTTCCCCAAGTTGATTCTCATCCTGAATTGTAGCCTGTTGCTTCCCTAATAAACCACATAATTATGAGTATGGTCTGTGAGTTCTGTGTGGCCATTGCAACAAATTATTGAACCCAGCAGAGAAGTAGAGCGCACCGTGGGGAGGACGGCTGGTGTCAGAATTGGTAAATAGTTCGGAGAGTGGAGGTATGTCTGACCGCCAGCTCACAGGAATCAGCCTTGGCTGATGGTGATCCTCCTTCCTCTCTGCTCGTGAAGCTGGAGGGCTGCTGACTTCTGACATTTCATGAATCCTGCAGAGCTCTTGGTGTGGCTTGCGTGGCCTTGCATCCAATCGGGACCAACCCCCCTTCCACTTTTTAGAAGGGTTTAGATTGGATTTAGTCCAGTCTTCCTTAGTTCCGTGTTCTTGGGGTAGTTTGTCCTGTGTTGGCCAATCTCAACCGACTGTGAGCCTCTACTTTCAAATACATCATCAGAAGTCTAAGAAGAGGACATTCTTAAACTAGCGAGAGCCCAGTCTGAATGGATGGGTAGGGGAGGTGTTGGAAGCAATACGTGAAAGACTGAGCAGTGATTTGGTGGAAGTGAAAAAATTGGGGCAAGCTCAGCAGTAGAAAGGGAGGAAGCGATATGCTCAGAAATAAAATGTGTTTGCCTGTTTTAACTTAAAGCTTGAATTCAGGATTCTAAAAAGTCCTCACCAGGAACTTCTCAGACTCACCTCTGATAGGGCTGTTCCACTGGTGACTAGATACCATACAGGAGTCGGAATGTATGTACCTGCATGTCAGCAGACAAGATAGAGAAATAGGGGCTGTGTAGAAGGACAATTCAGTGTTAACTGGTTGGAGCACTGTTTCTAAGAATAATTTTGCTTGTATTTTCTAATCCTCAAAATAATCATCTGTCATAGGCACTGCAGTAATGTCCTCTTTAATAGATGGGGATATTGAGACTAGGCAGGTAGGGAGCTGTCAGAGGAGAAGGTAGGTGGAAGGGCCCCACACTGAGCCCAGGGGTATGTGGCTCCAAAGCCTTGCTTGTGACCTTTATAGCATGTTATGCCCAGGCCTGTGCTTGACCTTGCTGATGGTAAGAGAATGCATGATCAGGAACAGTTTGGGATGTAATGGGCCAAGTCTAACGGGCTGAAATATAAGAGAGAGAAACATAAGGCTTTGTACTTGGCAAAAAAAAAGAAAAAAAAAAGATCCTTAACTACGTAAGTATAGTTACATAGTTTTATAACATATCTTTATAACTTTATAAAGTGGCATATATATGAATATGAATTAGGTCCAAATTTAGTTCCATGTGACTGATATATTTGCCAGAAGAGCTAGTATTGGCTAAACTGATGAGTAGAAATTTCCTATATACTAGGTATAAGATACACTGAACAAATTACACTTGAGACATTAAATTCATTTTGGGATGTCATACTTAGAACACATTTAGTTAAGAAACAGAGCTGTCAGCTGAGGTGAGAGTAATTAAAGGACTTGGAGGTGTGTAGTCTAGAAAATTTAGTTGAGGGGAATAGAAAAAAGATTTGAGGGGTGGTTCCAAAGCAAGGATCACACTGTCCTGTAGGCCCCCAAGGAGTCTGGGCTGAGACCAGCCTGCTGAAAAAGGGGAGGTGCCACGTGCCTAGCTAAGAGTTTTGAGTACACGCCGGAGCCCACTTGGGGGCGGCCCTTGTGGGGATCAACACAGGTGACTCAGAACTCAAATGCCTGCTGTCCTCTCCCCCTCTCTTGCAGGGATCCACCAATGCTAAAGAACTGTCTTCCAAGGGAGTGAAGATCTGGGATGCCAATGGGTCTCGAGACTTTTTGGACAGCCTGGGATTCCCCACCCGAGAGGAAGGAGATTTAGGCCCAGTTTATGGCTTTCAGTGGAGGCATTTTGGGGCAGAATATAAAGATATGAATTCAGGTGAGGAGATGGGACACCTCAGATTTCTCTGAGGGCCCTTCATAGTATGAGTTTGCTCTGTTGCTTCAAATAAGTAAAGCCCCAGGGGATGATAATAAGTTAGCTTCTGGAGAGTTGGTGTGTAACTTGGACATTGTGAAGAGCTGTGGAGGAGCCACAGCTAAGCCCATTAAGGTCAGACCACACCCTCTGTGACTAACATTTATTGAGTGCTTACTGGGTACATGACACATCGGAGAATCTTATTTCGTTGGCAGAGCTATGTGGTTGGCAGTGGTTGGTAGTCGGGTTTGAGATAAGGGGAGAAGGAACCTCAAGATTGCCTAGTGGCTGCTCCGATCTCCCTTTTCAAACTGACCCACCCAGCACACTCTAGGTGGTGCTGATGGGATGGCACTGTTACCTGGTCGCCACGCTACCTCCCTGCCCTGCTGGGGTAGAGGAAGGAAACATCTCACTCCTAACATCCTCCTTCCTCGGTCACTGTTGGTGGCACCACTTGCTGAGTGTCACAGAGCCCTGTCCTGGCCCTCTCTCCATGGGACGGGTTGCAAAAGCAAATGTCTGCCTCAGTGTGTTGGGGGAGAGAGATAAGAGGTAATAATCGACTGGCTGGGTAGGGACCAGCAAACTGGCGAGTTTAAGTCCCAGCTAAAGGGGACAGTAACATCTCGCCTCTACCCAGCTTGAGGAATTTGAACAGAGTTTGGTTAGAATTCTTTAATAAAAGCCTAAAATCTACATTTTACTTGCAGTCATAAGATTTGTTTTTTTTTTTAATGTTGGCAACTTCAGAAGTTTAAAAATGGTGTGGGCCAAACCATTTCTGCAGGTGAATGGCTGTAGATGGTTAGTATGCAGCCTTCTGTCCTAGGACCTCCCCCTGAGGATGCGAGGCCACTCCCTTGGCTTGTTGGTGCCCTGAGCCCTGCTTGTGTTCCTATACATTATTGCTTCAGGGGCCATCATAAAATTATGCTCTTAATTTAGAGTTGTATGAATGCAGGGGTCAGATCTCAGTAAGAAAGTCTTTTTGTTTTTAATTTTTTATTTTGAAATAATTATAAATTCATGGAAAGTTGTCCCCCCAAAAAACAGAAGTGCAGAGAGGTCCCCAGTACCCTTCACCCAGTTTTCACCTTGTATAAATTGACAATGGTGCTATCCAGAGAGCTTACTGGGTTTTGCCAGTTTCACATGCAGTCACTTAGCACATGTATAAATTCATGTAACCACCACCACAATCAAGATACAGAACTATTCCATCCTAGTTGATCTTTTTTTTTAGCTTTCATATTACCTTTTTTGGAACTGTGATCATGAGAGGACTTTCCTCCAAAAAGGTTGAGAACTACTGGGCTAGAACATAGTCTGACACCAGTGAGTGAAGTTTAACCAGAGGAAAATGCAAAGCTCTGCACTTCCGTTAGCAAAATCAGTTGTCAGCTTCAGGTTCCATTCAGAAGGAAGGCAAGGGATCAGAAATGGGGAAAAAGTATAAGATGGTGTAAATCATTACAGAGGTTTCCTCATATTTACAAGCCAAGTAGTGTTAGAAGGCTAGTATCTAGGTTACAGGAAGGAATCCACAGTATTCTGTTAGTTGGAATGTATAAAATGGTATATTCTATTTTAGATCCAATAATTCCTGTGGCATGTGGATAAAAAGTTGATTGTATTGGTGACGTGTGACAGGAATGGTTAATGGTTAATAGAGACTAAGTCCTGTGGGGACCATTGGAAGAAACTAGGATTGTTTAGATTGGAGAAGGTCAGCAATATGGGGAGGGGGAACATGGAGGAGGTGACACTGTACAGACCAGATATTTAAAGGACCTGAGTAGAAAAGCAGGTAGACTGATATAGCTCTAGAGGACAGACTCAAGTTGCCTAGACAGGGCTTTGAACTCAACATCACCCAGCGAGTTCTGAGAAGTGTGTAGAGAGTGTGGGATAACTTGTGACCATGAGTCATGGGGGCTATCATAGATGACCTCTAAAGCTTGTCTCATGAGATGCTGTGATAACGTTTGTGTACATGTTCTCTCTGATAATTCTAGATTATTCAGGTCAAGGAGTAGACCAGCTGAAAAAGGTTATTGACACAATCAAAACCAACCCTGACGACAGAAGAATCATCATGTGTGCTTGGAATCCAAAAGGTGGGAAGCAGTCCAGTCATCCTCTTTTGTACCAGCCATGCTAGTAGGAGGAAGGAAGCAATATGGTGTAGGCACCCGGCAGAGGCAGAACCACCAGGCTCTGCCTCCAGCTATCTGTTGGGTGTGTGACCTTGGGCAAGTCACATTTGGCCTATTTTCACCTTTAGATGATGGGGCTGGACCCAGATGATCTTAATCTGTGTATTTATACCCATTCTTACTCCAAAAAAGGGTTTTAATTGCCTATAAAAGTACACATAAGATTTTTAACATTATAAATTGTGGCAGATGACGTTTCAGATCACCTCTACCTCACAGTTATTAACATTATTTTGATAATATTTTATTGTATTTTTGGTGAAAGATTGCATAGAAATTAAGCTCCCATTTGACAATCTCTACAGGAATTGTTCAGTGACATTAGTTAAATGTTTCAGAATGTGTCAGCTTTCTCTGTAATTGCATTCTGGTTCTTCTGTTACCAGTACGCCAGTTTCCCCACCCCCTTATCTTCTCATCTTTGCTTAGAGTTAATTGTTGACTTTTGGTCTCATATAGATGGTTCTTTAATGGAGCACTGTACTCACAGGTGATAGCCTTTGTGTGCCTATTTGTTATTTCACGAAAAGGTGACCTGAGGAGATAGTTTCAGTTCCAGGTTTAAAGAGTATCTCAGGGTGATAGTCTCAGGGAGTCCTCCAGTCTCAACTGGTCCAGTAAGTCTGGACTTTTTAAGAATTTGAGTTCTGTTCCACATTTTTCTTCTGTTCTGTCAGGGTGTATCTATCTATCACAGTGGTCGGTAATGGTAGCCAGACACCATCTAGTTCTACGATTACTAACATTTTTAACAATTATATTGTAAAATTAAAATTTCTGCCAGGGTGTAATAAATACCAGCATGGAACATTTGCATCTGTAATAAAGACTTTGAATACAGGAGAGTATACCTGAGATGCCAAATGAATTAATTCCTCCTATATTTGTAGTTGGTGCCATGAAGGTAGCACAGATAATTTCCACTTGGAAGGAAGAGCTAAACTAACAGGAGACATTCACCCAGAAGTCTCAGTTTATAGACAGGTTTCTGTCAGCTGCGTGCTACCACTGGGGTTAGAGAGGTCTGCTTTTGACATGAGGGGGATGGCGTGGTTCATGGGGGTTGCTGCGGCCCAGCGGTTCTATGATCTGTGAGTTGGCTTGTTTCTCTCCTGTTTGATTTTGCCTGTGTTTGCGACATCTGTTAGAACCCCCACCCCCCCTCATTTTCGTTTGTGGTCCCGCAGACCTTCCTCAGATGGCGCTGCCTCCCTGCCACGCCCTTTGCCAGTTCTATGTGGTGAATGGTGAGCTGTCCTGCCAGCTGTACCAGAGGTCAGGCGACATGGGCCTGGGGGTGCCTTTCAACATCGCCAGCTACGCCCTGCTCACCTACATGATTGCACACATCACCGGCTTGAAGGTGGGCTACTCTCGGCAGGGAAAAACAGTTGCCAGTGTGATGCACTTAGATTCGTTAATGTGGAAAAACTGGCAGAGAATTCAGTATCTAATCAGTTCCAAAATTTGATACAGTCATTCCTCGTTGTTTGCAGTCTGTATTTGCAAATTCACCTATTGGCCGAAGTTTGTTTGTAACCCCACAGTCAACACTTGGCAGCGCTTCTGCAGTCATTGGTGGGCATGTGCAGAGGCCCCCAGTGCACATGTTCTCAGCTGAGGTCGAACAGAGTGATGCTCTGCCTTTTGTTTTAGCTCTCATTCTATAAACAAGTGTCATTTTCTACGGTCTATTTAGTGCCACATTTTTCACATTGTCGTGCTTTTTGTTGATGATTTCATGTTTAAATGACCAAGTTCAGTGCTGAAGTGCTGTCTAGTGCTCCTAAGTGCGAGAAGGCTGTGGTGTACCTCACAAACACGTATTAGATAAGCTTCGTTCAGACAGGAGTTACAGTGCTGTTGGCAGTGAGTTCACTGTTAATGAATCAACTATATCAAATAAGGTGTCTTTAAGCTGAAACACATAAAACAAGGTTATGTATTGATCAGTTGATGAAAATGTTGGAACCAGGGGCTCCCAGGACCCTAACCTTGTATTTTCCTAGGAATAATGGTTCAGTATCTGCTAATTCAGTGTTCATGATGACTTTATAGAACTTAACTACCGTGAATAATGAGAATCGATTGGTATGTGTAAATAAAAAATGAACAGGCTCCCTTGTAACCTTCCATGGAGCTTTCATGCCCTTGTGTCCTGCATAAACTAACAAGCATCAGACTTTACTCACACAAGATAACTTAGAATTAACTTTTCTCAAAAGCTTCTGTGTTTATTTTTTGAAAAGTCTTGGGATGGCTGCATACTCATATAAAGTGTTTTTAAATGTTTTAAAGGAATTGAAACTAAAACATTTACTCTTGCTTTCTCCCATGGAATTTAGCCAGGTGACTTTGTACATACTTTGGGAGATGCACATATTTACCTGAATCACATTGAGCCCCTGAAAGTTCAGGTAAGAATTATATCTGTTACACTTAGGAGTCTGGTAAAATGTTCATTTATGGAACATCCCTTACGGACTAGGCATTCTGCTAGAATCTGTGTCCAAGGTGTCCGAGATGAAGATGGAGGTGCTCTGATTTCAGGGCTTCACTTTTGGGAAGGGTGGTGGCCAGGTGGGCAGGGATAAGGTAGACATGCACCTTCACAGCCACAGGCAGGTAACATTACATTGTAGAACTGTGACAGGTGTTGTATGGACCAAAGCAGCAGTGCCAGAGAGGGAGAGCCACATTCTGACCCGGGGACCTGCCCAGAGGGGGCATTTTAGCTTTTGTTTTTACTTGAAGGAGAATTTAAATGTCAATATTTTCCCTTAATTTTATGCTAATTACAATATTTAGGTCTTAACTTTCAAAAATCTGCCTATTCAAATCTCTGCCGACAAATGATTTGAAATGGCAGTAAAAATGCAAGTGACTGTGTTTAATTAAAAACCAAACCAAACCAATTGTTGTCGAGTCAGTTCCAACTCATGGTGACCCCATGTATGTTAGAGTAGAACCGCTCCATAGCGTTTTCTTTGGCTGATTTTTTGGAAGGAGAATGCCAGACCTTTGTTCTGAGGCACCTCTTGGTGGACTCGAACTGCCAGCTTTTCAGGTAGCAGCTGAGCACATTAACCATTTGCACCACCAAACCTTTTAGCCCCTTCCAGATTAGATCCTGGGTTTGAAAGTTACTCCTTCTAGAGAAGTTGGCTGCTTTTGTTTAGAGGGTGACTTTAGGGCTTATTCAGATGCTTCTCTCTCCAGCTATCTTCTCCAGCCCATGTTGAACAGACTATGTCCACATCCAGCTATGTCCACATCCTAGTTGCCACTGGCTTGGGTCTCTATTAATTGTCAACAGATCTAATCTTTCCTTCCATTTCTGCCAAGGACAGTGGGATAGGGGTTCTAGAACTCAAGTAACCATACCGAGTGTCTGAGTTACAGACACAAAAGTAAAAGACTGTCCCTGTCCTTAATAAATTAATTCCCCAGTGGTTATAAGACCTTACACCTCATGAACCATCAGGCTCCTGATGCTATGTAATTTCACAAAACACACTTCACTCCTATCTGCATGTGAATGGGCTGGTTCCCCTCCAATAGTATCATTTAACCAGGGACGTGGTATGTACGGTTTTATACCTGTATAATAGTTTATAAAATACTGTGTATTTGTTTCATGAAGAGACATTGGAGCAGAATGAAAGCAGCTTGAACAAACAGGGCAAAATAATGGTCCTCGGCATTATTTTGTTGTTTTCAGCTCCAGCGAGAACCAAGACCTTTCCCCAAGCTCAACATTCTTCGGAAAGTCGAGACAATTGATGATTTCAAAGCCGAAGACTTTCAGATTGAAGGGTACAATCCTCATCCAACTATTAAAATGGAAATGGCTGTCTAGAGTCGTTTCAAGGATGTTGTCAGCCTTTAGGGGTTGGACTGGACGCCCAGGTGAAAAGGTTCTTTTTGCTATAAAGGAAAAAGGAACTAGGTCAGAACCCCGGGGGTTACCTGTCAGTTATTGTTCAAAAACTGCTTCCTTTTAAGCATGTTGCCAGTGACAGATATAACAGTACCATTTCTTGTAGTAGTAAAAGGTCTTGAGCTTGGCTAACTCACTGAGGATGTATGAAAGTGCTGAGATTATGACCAATGCTGGGAGAGTGAAAATGTATGTGCTCTTAACACAAACGTGTATATGCATTTCAAACCCATGTCTTTATGAAGGTCCACGGATTTCAAGAATTCTATAAACTATTCTCCCAAATTTGAGTGAGCTGAATGATGCTATCAATCATAATGTATAGTGTGGCTATGAACATTTAAAGTTCTTTTATATATTGCTATAATAAAGCTGTGTTCTGCATTTGTCATTTTTATTCCTTATTGCCATTTATCTGCCTAGTTCCTGCCTAAAATAACTGCATCTGACTAATAAACCCATTGCTGTCAAGTCAATTCCAACTCATAGTGACCCTATAGGACAGAGCAGAACTGCCCCATAGGGTTTCTAAGGAGCAGCTGGTGGATTTGAACTGCCGACCTCTTGGTTAGCAGCCAAGCTCTTAAACCACTGCACCACCAGGGCTCCATGTGACTAATAAATACTCCTAAACAAACATTTGCTGTTCCTGTTTGGATGCTACTTATAGAATTAGAATCTGTATTTTAGAAATGCTGACTATGCTATATTTTGCCCTATTTATCTGTGATTCATCTAATTCCAGCTACATTTTATCATTAAAATATCATGACCTAGTGGTGATGGTAGCACAACATGGTGAATGTAATAAATGTTACTCAGTTGTACACTTACAGGTGGTTAAGCTGGCAAATTTTTTGTTATGTATATTTCACCACAATAATTTTTTTTTTAAATGACCATTCAGGGAAGAATTTTTTATGGATTATAAGAAAATACAATCTATGAAATACCATTTTGTCCTCATTAGTTTCAATATGGTGTGAATTCTCTAATAATATGCTTACACTGAGCAAGACAAGAAATGCTAAACCACTTCCAGGCTAATCAGTGAAATCTCTGTACCTCTGCTGCATACCAGATACCCCAGGGTGCTGCAGAACTATTTTTACTTTGCTAATTTATGACAGATATTAAATAGAATAAGGAATTGTTCCAACAAATTATGCAACATGTTGCTTATTCTTAGAGTACAGTTTAATGTTTAGTACCAGCACTTGATAGAAATTTTGTAAGAACATCTTCTTGGACTTTGGATTAGTTAAATCTAAATTCATTTAAGGATTAAATATGAGAATATGTATTTATTTGCTAAGAGAATCGAATAATGATTATTGAGCTAATTCCTGAGGTTAATAAGTCTTCCAGCCGAACTTCTCTTGATTGGTAAGATGAGTTTTTTTTTTCTGTTTTTGTAAAGCCATATCCAAGAATTGTTAAGCGTTTTCACTTAGAAAAAGGTGTTAGGTCTGACAACTTAGTTTTCTTGACCAGCAAGGAGTTTCTTCCAGACTTCGCCATCTGGAAATCGGTGTTTCTTTACAGATTCCTCTTTCATTTCTGTTGAATAGCCAGCATCCTAGCAAAGACAAAAAATGGAACAGTGTTAATAACCACCTGGAACAAAACATTCTACGTATTTCTGCTCCTCCTGGAAATGCTTTTAAAGCTAAACCAAAGGCAGCTGAACTAATTTTTTAAAAAAAATGTTTTCAAATTGTTTAAAATGGGGGGAGGGGAGCACTTTATTGACCACTTCCCAGGACTAGTTAACTGAATGGGAAATTCATGGTTTTTCTTTCTTCCTTTGAGAGCTCAACCTCCACTGATGCAAATGAGCCATGAACTCTTGAACATCATCAGGACAAATGGCCCAAATAACACAACTGTAGTCAGAACCTTTTCGAACTCACTAACTTGCTATAGAGGGTGCCAGGTTTGGTTTGGTTTTGCACAAGGAGTACACATTTTAAGGCCTCATCTGCTAAGAAAGATGGCATTAGAGAAGCCTTGTTGGGGCAATTTAACCTCCCAGCCCTGGCCCTCAGACTGCAGGAATTTGATACCTACTAACACTTGTTTCTAGACAATGAAAATAAACTAATTTGCCAGTTCATGGGACTAAGCATGGTGAGGGCTGGCAGTGATGCCCCTGTGGGCCTCCCAGGCCACGTCCTACCTTAGGAGGCATGTAAGACGCCTTCTTGATTATCACAGGATACTTGAAATGTTCATGTAGGTGGTCGACATATTCACACATCCTAGGAGGAAAGAATCTGGCTGGGATAGTAATACCTTAAATTAAATTATTCACATGGTAGTAATGGTGAAAGCAGAGGCGGGACTCCCACTGTGAAGACTCGGCTGAGACCATGTGTGTCTGCAAATCTCTTAACCTCTGTGCCAGCCTCTAAGGCAATGTGGGAGACTTTGATGAAATGCACCATGAGGTCCGTTTTAACTCTAAAGGTTTGATGACCCCAAAAGCATCAATTTAGACTCCATAAATATCTGGGACTGTGGGCATATTTGGCCTGAAGTTAGGTTTCTTCTAGCTTTACTAGTAATTTAGAAGATTAAGAGCATAGGTTTTAGAGTTAGACTGATCTGTGTTTTAATTCTGTGCCAGCAACATTCTGGTTTTGGGATGTTGGGCAAGTGAACTAACTTTCCTGGCTGACGTTAGTCATCTGTAGAGGAAGAGCTGTGATGTGTGGGCTGTGTGCAGGTGCTGGGGACACAGAGGAATTGGCATGCTTTAACTGGCCATAGACACTAAGTCATCGACTAAACTGTGCTCTATGTAATCTATAAAGGACAGGGCACAAATGAAGAGTCATTGCGTGGAAGAGGTCAACTGGGCTTTGAAAGATTAGTGGGGAACTGTGTTGCATGCAGAGAATCTCAAAGCACGTGTCATATGATGGCACGTGTCTGTTTCTTACATACAGTAGAGTCTGCAGTGGGCACGAGGCCCTTCCAACCGCTCAGTGAGTGATGGAGTCACTAAGGCTAAGGGGGTCCCTCTTCCTCAGCCCTCAAGACTTGTAGGACCTTTTAAGGTTGGTTGGAACCTCCTCTTAGTCCTGAAAGCAGGAACAAATGAGAGGGGACAAAAGCAGACTAACCCAGGAATTTTTTTTTTATTACAGAATCAGAGAATATTAATTGGAAGAAGGAAAAAAAATGATCTAGTCCCAACCTTCATTTTCCAGATGAACAAACAGGTTCAGACTCATGTGAAATCTCCTAACTGTGACAGCTTCAGGACTCAAACCCAGGTCTCCTTATTTCTAACCTTATGTTCTTATTCTAGAGTATAAAATATTTCAGGCATATTAAAGAGCAACAGCTGACTACTCACCCCAGCTTAAGAAATAAACCGCTACAATTATACCTGCAGCCCCCTCTATGTCCTTACCGAATCCCGCTTCTCTCAATCCTTTCCCATTTTTGCAGGTTTTTATGTGTTCACTATGTGCTTTAGTGATCTTTCTGCAATACCACATTTAATTCCAGTAGAAAAGAAAAGCATAATCAGCAAAGCTGTATGTGTCAGGTGACTAGGAGACTGTCCAAATTTAAAGAGAAAGCTCATCTGGGTCATATTGAGAAAGAGGGTGGCACCAAATAAAGACATGGCCATATCATGCAAGACTCCGCGTCAGAAAGAGGAGTCAACATAAGCAGAGAATGAATGAATGAATGAAAACAGCGCTTCAGAAATTCAGAGCTAGGAGCTAGTTTGAGAGAGAAGTTCTGGGTTCCATGTGGTTGTAAACCCCTCACCTCCCAAAGTATACAAATCAAAATGAACTCAGCTACCAAGACCCTGCCCGCCCGCCCCCTTAACGGGAAAAGGACTGCTCACTGGTGGGTCTCTGCCCCATGTGGCAAAGCGGGAGCAAACCCACTCACTCAGCCTTTGTGTCTAGGATGTGCACAACAGGCAGAGTTCTTGGTGTCCGGTCATGACCGGAGAACTGGAAAGATGTGGCCTGGATCGAGGGACACTAGTTGAGCAGAAAGGATTCTTAGCTAATGCCACATCTGTTGTTTTTATTAGCTGCTGGTGAGTTGGATCCAACCCATGGTGACCTTACGTACAACCAAACGAAACGCTGCCTGGTCTTGTGCCATCCTCACAGTTGTTGGTAAATGCCATGTTACTGACCTGTTTTTAAGGCTTGCAGAGACAGCTATGTAATCAAAGATAATCAAGTGTTGTACCAATTCACAGAGGCCAACTCCACCAGCATGGGGGCAGACGGGAACTAAGATGAAGAAAGATTTCTATTTAATGCCAAGAGTCGGGCGGAGAAACTGGAGGTTACTACAATGACTGGATTACAATCACTCAGCCATATTCTAGCATTATAATTTCCACTTACTAAAAAAAAAAGAACCAGGCAGAGAGGAAGGGGTGAAAGAAGCCTGTGGTTTTCAATTGCGCCCAGGTGATTAAATCATTAATCTTTAGGAGAATGAAATTCCAGGATGACAACTGTCAGATTCCCCACTTAAGCCTAAACGAGAGTTAGAAAAAAGCTGAAAATGCCCAGTGCAGATTCATGTGAATTGGGAAAATCACAGGAGGCATCACAGACCCACTGGGAGGGGAGACGGACGTCTGATTTGCAGACTCCACAGAGCCCTTACTTCCAAACTTCTGGGCCATCAGTAACACCGAGAGGTTCTCATTGACACTTCCCAGTCTGCAGCTGTCAATCTGGAGAAACTGCAGGGCATTGGCCTGTAGGAGTTGCTTAAATATCACTCTATTGTGGCACTGGAAATAGAATTAAAAATAACACCAACGAAAGCGTCAGCCTGGGCCTTCAGGATCTCTGCACCTGGCACGTGGCCATTGCAAGCCCATCACTACTCATCCACGCCTCCAAGGCCCTTCAGGAAGCCTGGACTGCATTCACTCTTTGTTCTCACTTGGCAGGAGGCGAGCCTGGTAGTGCAGGTGGGGCCCTGTGCTCACTTCTTTATACATCTGCTAGGGGAACAGCAGCGAGAGCCGTGTGAAGGCCACACTCGCTCTCCACTGATGGAGGAGTAACCGTCACATTGGCTGGCAAGTGGGCGATGCAGAGGAGCATCAGGATGAAAGGCGATGAGAGCTACGAGGAGGTGGCGTGGACTACACAACTGAACCTCGCAAAGCACTGCTCCTTTTGCTGGGCAAGCTGAGAATCTGCTCTGTTCTGTGGGCTGTGCAGCAGATGTTGGCAGGCACTTGTGCTTACTTTATAAGCATGGAAAGCAATGCAATAATGTTGATGCCATCTGGAAGCTGGCTTGTTTGAAACCATACAGTACGTTTTACTCCCCTGCAATAGCAACTTTTAAATTGCTGCCTTGTAAACTTTAATGAGACATTTTAGAAAAGCTAAACGACCTTAGTCATATGAATTGTAGAAAAATCTACCAGTTTCTGACCATATCTGACTCCAGACTCTAATTGGTGCATAATGATTCCATTTGTAAGAAAAGGGAAGCTCCCTGACTCAAAGGACAACAGGCAGGGGAGCCTACCACCTGCCTGTGCTCAGTCGGTGTCCATGTGTTGTGACCACTTACCTGCTCTCCTGTTGCAACACCAATTCCTAATGGGGCCAGTGCCTACAAGACAGAAGGCAACCTGGTGTTATTTCCTAAGTTTCTGCATTGCAACTCCTAATGTTTAAAAATATTTGTAGCTGAAGGAGGAAACGTCCCTGCGGTCGCGTTGTGTGAAGTTTAAAGACAGCAGAAGGATGTCAAGGGGAGTCTGTGTGTGCACCGAAGGGGCTGCGTGTACCACAGGAGAAAAAGCAAACACGTGTTCATCTGCTGCCATTGGCTCCCTTCCTGACTGAGGCTCTGCGGATTTCCTCCTGCAGCATCCTGGCTGGGCCATGCTCTGTGAATGGCCTGCACTCCCCTCTCCTGGGCCTAGACAGAGGTGGCGACCTGGGAGAAGACATGGCTACTCAGCAATGGTTCATCATGGACTCACATGGTCCCACCTCTGCCCGACTCCTTCCATAGGTCACCACTCCTTTTATTCCCTTCTCACTGCCTCCCTGGTAACCACTCGTGTTATTCTACAACCTTCTTGTGTCTCTGTCAATCCCAACATCCTCTCCTCTCAAGCTCAGAGGGTGCCCTACAGTCCCTTTATAGGCTAGGCTGAGGCCATTAGTCACAAGCTCCTCATGTGCTCGAATCTTCACCCAGCACAGTTCCACTGCTCCTCTGCCCACCCGCCTGCCCATGCTCCCTCTGGAGCTAACTCACTCACCCTACCTGTGCTCTCGGCTGCTCCCTCAGCCTCCACTGGGATGCAGTTCCACAGCTATTCTCTCAGGTTCTCTTTCGCTTTGTTCACGATCATATCAATGACAACAGTAGCTAACACCTTCTGAGCTTTATCACCTCTCAGGCGTATGCAAAACGCTGATTTAAACTGTTCTCCTAAGAACCCAGTGGGACAGGGCATCACTGCCCGCATCTTGCGGATAAGAAAACAGGCTTTCAGGGTCAGTTTACTGTCCCCAAATCACAAAGCGAGAAAGGGGCAGAGCTGGGCCTTAAACTCTAGGCAGATTCCAGAGCCACTTCCCAGCAGAAAATCTCGCAGTTTTGGAGTCAAGTGTCCAATCCCGATCCTGTCCTGCTTCTGACAGGACGTGTGTGACCTTGGGTGAGCCACCCACCACCTGAAGCCTCAGCTCCTCATCTGCAGCAGGACAGAGCTGGAGCAGATGGTCTCTAAGACGTCACCAGTGCCGAAATTACTATGCTTCCCTACATTTCTAATTGAAGTGTTCTTGGTTCCTTCACTCAAAAGAGTGGGAAAAGGGAGGGAGGGAGAGAGGGAGCGAGGAGGGGAAAAGCCATTTCATCTTGACTTATTCATTCTGCCATTTTAAAGCATACATGTTTCTGGCACTGAACTGGTACCAGATTTTATTTCCTCCTTTAAAATATTTCCTGAGTTTGCTCTACTCTAACTGCCCCCTCTCTTTACCCCCACCTCCTCCACCACACCTAGACTGCTGGAAAAGCCGCCTCATTCCTATCCCTGCTTCCCGTTCCTTTCTGCCCATTCCTCACCTCCTATGCACCCTGCCCACTCCATTCGCCATACTGTTATCAGTCCACCATCTCTCATCACAGCCTGCACTGTGTCCTCACAGAAGAACCCGCAGTGGCTCACTGCAATGGCTGCATCTAGGAGCAGATGGAGTCTGCAGCCTGGCCTGCCACCTGCCTTTCCTACAGCCCCAGGTGCCACCTCTGCATCCCCTGGCCCTGCCACATGCTGCCTGCAGCTTCCCCGTGCTGGACTCAGCTCCTCCTGGATGCCTGCTCGGGAGATGGCCTACCCTCTGTAAATAAAACTTCAGCAGGTTGGGGCCCAGAAGAGCTTCCAAGGAGCCTCTTCTGCTGGGCAAAGGTCCAGGCCTGGCAAGCTGGCATTCAATAGGGTCGGTGCCTTCTAGATGGCAGCTAAGGAGAAAAGGAAAGAGAGACTCCGGGGAAAGGCCCTGTTGAGCCATGACCCCTCATCCTGATTCTACTGCTGCCACACTCAGCACCCTGCCAGGATCCCACCTGTCCATGTGTCTCATCTCTCATTGTTTTCTCTCCAGTGAGGCTGTAACGTGGGGAGAGTGGAGGGCATGTCTTTACCACAGGTTTGTGTCGCGTGTCCTACATCTGGTAGATAACGTGGATTTACTGAGAGAAACAGAGCAGGCCCCTGGGCCCTGGGCCTTCCACCTCAGCAGGACTTGCCAGTTCATACAGGACACAGGGTGGCATCTCTCCCAGAACTTGGAACAAAGACTGTCCTCAGAGTTAAAGTTTTTAAATCAACACATACTGGGGGAAGTATAGCTATGGAAAGTCGCCTCAGAGAGAAAACAACAATCCTAAGCAGGCCAGACGTTGACTATGAGCCCAGTGAGTGCGCCAACCCACTGGCACGGGGGTGGGGGGGAATGGTCAGAGGGAAAGAGAAAAGAGAAGTCAGAGTGAACGCTGGCATCTCTGCCCAGGGGAGGAGATGAGGTTTAACACACGCCATGTCTGCTGCCTGAAGCAGAAGGAGGACACATCCCTGCTGTGGAGCTGAGTGAAGTTTAAAGAACAGCAGAAGGAGGTCAGGCTGCCGAGGTGGGTGCACGGGCCATCCTAGCCTGATGCCGTTTCACGTAACTGGTTCCTGACCTCATGTTTCACTCGTCACAGCCTGTGGTTCAGCACGGCTTCCCACGGAGCTTGCTCTGCGCCAAGGTTACAATAACCTGGTGCTCCCGGCAGGTGTATTTCTCCGGCTTTATAGATCAGTGCTGTGTGGGGAGGGGAAGTCTCTCCCTGAGAGACAGGGTGTTTCTCAGACATTCTGACACAGCAGGCTCTTCCTGAACCTGGAAGGGGAGAGGCAGGCCCCCAGGCAGGGTGGCTTTGCTGAGAAAGTGCCCAATTGACAGGGCTCTCAGGAAACAGCCTTCTCCTGGGGAGGCTCAACCTCGGCATTAGATGAGCCAGACTTTTCTTTTGAGTCAGCCAGAGGAATCTGTACTTTTTGTTTCATTCTGATGAACAAACTATTTCTGATATCTGTCACATTTCCATATTTACAAAGCATGGGAACCAGATCTATTAACTTTGGATTGCGGGTAGCCTTTCAGCTTTTAGCAATTTATTTAGACTAAATAGAAATAAGAGCAGTGGGTAAGCTGAAGTAAATAAAAGGATGTCGGGTCTGTAATCCCAGTACTCGTCACAGGTGACAATCACTTCAGCTACTTGGTCAAAAAAAGTAAAGGCAAGAAGCAGAGGAACTGTGGGGCCTGTCGCGACCATTCCAGAGAACCAAATGAAAAAGCCAGGCAGCAGCAGCTTTCCTACCTTGGAAATGGTGGCATGGCCGAGGATGTCATCAGGGGAGGTTGGCTCCTCGATCCACAGCGGCTTGAACTCAGCCAGCCTGGACATCCACTCCACGGCTTCAGGCACGTCCCAGCGCTGGTTGGCATCCATCATCTGCAAGCGGAAAGAGACCCTTCATTGTGGGGTCTGCCCAGGGCCGACCTCTGCAGGGCTGTGGCCCCTGGTGAGGAGATGCCGTCACTCAGTGCCACCAACTTTCCACAGGAGCCTGGCATCTTCCTGGTGGAGGCCACGCGCACCCCTAACAGAGGGAGCCAAAGGGAGCCATGGAGGCTCAGGAAGTTGGTTCCAGGGACTCCTCTGGAGGAGATGGGAACTGTTGACCTGACCCTCTGTGATCACTGGAAGTGCCCTGCCCAGGGCCTGTGAGAGGTGCTCGCTGGCCCAATCTCCACTTAGATGCCACCCAAGTAAATCGGTCTTACAGTGTTAGCTCTGTAGGAAACATGTTACCACATCTGAATCATCATACACAGTCAGTACTGAGCTCATTTCAATAGTTATTTTCTGAGTGCTCACTATATGTCTAGCATAATAATAAATAACCCAAACATGACCACTGACGAAGCACCTACTCCACTAGGTACTTTATGGATTTTATCTCATTTAATATTTATAATAACCCTATGAGGTAGTTCACATTAACCCACTTTATAAATAAGAAAACTGACAGGCATGCAGAAAAGTTACTATCCTTGCTCAATTCACCCCAGGCTTCTTTCAGGTCAGGGTCCCTGGCTCTTTGCACTCTGCTAACCTTCCTGGAGGTCAGGTGCTGGGGGTACAGCCCCTGCCCTTGTCGGCCTCACTGCACTTTGAGCAGAAAGACACAGAAACAGGCCTCTCTAGCAAAATGTGGTTAAGTTGGGAGCCCCCCTCACAGGATGCTATGAGGACCACAGCAGAGTACACACAGAATCAATTTGAATCATAAATTATTTGCATGAGGATGACTGCATAAAACAAAAATGGCTTCACTAATATATAATGGGACTTCTTATCCTATGTTAAGGACTCCAAACTTCTAATTTAAATTATGAAACAAGCTTCTTCATTAAAAAAAAAAAAAAATCTGACTGTGACTTTCCTTATGAAAATACACATAATAAGAAATGTTTTGTAAAAATACACATTCAAGAATGACTGACCCTTATGTTCATCTCAGGCAAAGTTCTGATATAAGCATTCTTCAGCAGTAGCCCCCTGAAGCCCGCCTACCAACAAGCTACCCAGGCAGGGTTTGTTCAGAAGGGAGATTAAATGAGAGATGCTCCATGGCCCAGTGAAAGGGCTGTTTGCTTGAGTACATCCACATTAACAAGAAGGAAAGACCCTAAGCCAGATCTTATTTAACTAGTTCTGCAGAATAAAAAAATGTTTAATTACCAGCCCCCTCAGTGGTGTTGTTTTTAAGTTAACCTACTGCAAGACCACAGAGCTGTACTTTCTCTGGTGGTAAGTTTAAATTTCCTAGTGTTCTTTAATCCTTGCTGGAAATGAATTGTTTTGGCCCTGGACAAAGACTTGGTGGAGCCTGCTTATTTCCCAGCAGCTGACAGTCTATATTTACCAGCGTCTTCTCGGGTCCAATCATGTCCCTGATAAGCCGACACCTGCGGATGTCATCCTGGAGATCAGCCCCGACCTTGACTTTGAACCTACAAGATACATTTGGCTGGCGGTTTACGTTTGTCCCTGCACCTGGCAGATGCCCGAGCTTCCTGCAGAAGTGCCCCTCTGTCATAATTCACAGAGGGGCACGCTGTCTTTAAGAGCACTATGCCTGCTCTTTCCCAGTCACCTCAAACGAGTCACCTGAGAACAAGCCTGCAAACTCAGTATTAGGGCAATGGCTCTAACTTACCTGCTGATCTCTAGTTAAGGAGCTGGAGAGGGAAATTAGACTTGAACTGAGTTTTTAGTGACACGAACTGAGTTTTTGCCATGTCACGAAAAGGAATGAAAAACGGAAAAGCTACAATCAAAACTGAAGAGTCTGGTGGGGAAGGATGCCAGTGAGCTGTCCAATTGTGTCCTGAACCTAAGAGTATTTTTATAAAAATGCTCACAACTGCAGAGCCCTTTACACAGGCTGCTTCATATTATACTCTCACAGGGAGAGGTGGGCCAAGGAGACCTCTAATCCCCCATACAGGGAGGGGTCTTGGGCTCGGCGAGTGACGTGGCTTCCTAAGGTCACGAGGCTCGAGCAGCAGCAGGCGGCCAGAGCCCCCACGCACAGGTCTCCTCTACATCACATCTGAAGCTCAGCATATCTGCAGATCCACTTAGATGAGCCCCATCCTCCACTTCTGCTCCCCTCAGTGTGGCTGCAGCCCACTTCTCATCACCAGGGGAGGGCAGCATCGTCCGAGTGAACCCCGCCATTGGAGAGGGCCACCCCTGTGAGTGAGAGCCAGTCCCTCCCTGGCTCTTCTGCCTCTCCGCTCTGTACGCTCAATGTCACGACTTCCCTGGGGACTCAAGCACAGCCACAGTCGCCACTTCAGGCAGAGCCTGGGGTACCTGAGGTCCTCTCACTACTTCCAAAATGCCCAACCTCTCTGCTTACAAAGCCCCAGCTCACAGTCAGGCAGCTACTGAGGTTCTCTCCCCTCGGTTGGCCCTAAAAACACTGAAGAAGTGGGAGCTTCACCTAGGTGGCTGCAGCTGGCATGGCTTCTGGATACTGTCTTCCTGTGCTGGAAGCAGCTGGAATCTTCGCTCAGCCTGCTCTGACCCATGGGGTATGACTTCTCAAGCCTTTCCTGGGCACAGGGAGGGAGAGGGAGGAAGCCAGCACACACTGCACCCTGCTCAGAATCCTGCCCGTGCTGGTCCTGGGCAGATATGGCAACTCATTCAACCCTGAAGAGAACCATGACTTAACATTATTTCTACTTTATAGAGAGAAATGATGAGGTTCAGAGACGCTGAGCAATTTGCCCAAGATCATACAGCTAGTACTTGCCGGGGATGAGGAAAAAGGCAAGATTTGAATCCAAATCCATATATCCCAAAGCCTCTCTCCACTGCTGCTTGCTGCCTCCTGCAAGTTCTCACTCCCCAGCCCTGTATTTAACTAAGGAGTTAACAGGAATTCGTTGCTTCTCAAACTTTAATGTATACATGAATCACCCAGGGACCTGGTTAAAATGCAGATTCCAAATCAGGAGGTCTGGGGAGAGGCCTGAGAGTCTGCATTACTAACAAGCTCCCAGGGGATGCTGATGCTCCTGGTCCACGGACCACACTTTGAACAGCAGGAAGCTTGATGGCCAGAGAGATGACAAGTCATGTGGGAGCCGGGTGATACATCACAGGCACAGAGTGCAGCTGAGCTGCAGGACGGGACCAGAGCCCAGGTCTGCAACAGGACCCTGGGCCACTGACCACTGCACGGCATCCAGTGGAGCAGCCCAGGACGCCCAGGGCTCCCTGACTGGTACTCCGTCCAGAGAGTACAGATGTCAGTCTTGGGCAGAGGAGGCCTGAGCAGTAGTAGGGAAGGGCTGCCGCTCCAGGGACAGAGGAGCATACTGGCTCTTGGGAACTTCATGGAGAAGAACTTGGACCAGTGGCTGGAAGTTACATGAAAGCAAGGAGTTCACTATATTAGAGAGCTTTCCAACACTCACAGCTATCAAACAATGGAAAAGTGTCTTACAAAGTTAAGCTCGCTGTCTCTAGTGGTATTCAAGCGGAAGCTGGACTGATGTCTGTCACTGACGGTAAATAATGGATTTCTATTCTAGACTGGTGCTTTAGATCGATGCTCTCCAAGGTCTCGCTCAACTCCGGTATTCCAGGATTCTAATTAGTGCTCATTTCAGAAAGAGCCCAGCCTTCGTTCGGAAACTCCTCTCATGCGTCTCTGCATGCCAGGCTGCCCACGCACGTATCCGGGTGTGGGTGGTGCCTTCTAACCTGGGCCCCTTTCGGCTGACAAGCCTCTCATGCTGCTGACCGGCAGAGTCCTGAGTCCATTATCCCACAGGTAGTTACCTTGTCCAGCCGTCCTTCAGGGCCTTGGAGCAGAGCTGTGGGGAAGGAGTATACCCATCAATGTACACTGAGAAGCTCTCCTTACGCTGATGGGTACCTCAAACATTTCTGACCTGGAGTTAACAAACACTACAGCTGCAGCGTACGCCAGACCAACCCATGTGTTGTTGAAATTAAGAACAGAAACAGCTTGCTTAGCCAACAGAGTATAACTCTTTGTACTTACAGGGTAATTTTCTGTCCTCATCTCTATGGGAACCATTTCTTTAATTCTCACAACATTTCTGAAAGGAGTGTAGCATTAATCCCCTTTTTAAAGCGAGGACATTTTGTGGCATCCGCAGAACTAATGGATGTTAGCATATCAAGCAGAAGCCAATCTCCCTCCATCGACCTTAGTTCTAGTGAGTGCAGGATGATGGGAAACTAATGAACCACGTAAACTGACTATGCATGATGGGCCTGCTACAGTGTCCGAGCACAGCCCACCTTCTAGCACTTACCTCAGTCCTCAAAACTGCCCGTGAGATAGGTATTACTTCCCATTCCACGGTGAGGAATGAAGGCTAAGTGGTTAAGCAACGTGCAGAACATTACCCCGTGGTCTGTCTGGAACCCAGTCCTAGACTGCCTACTCCCAGAGGCCAAGCTGGGAATCACCAGGTCACAGAGGCCCAGTGCCCAGAGTGTGAATACATGCTTTCATAATGAGGCCTTGGGCCCAAAATGATTTGGAAAGGCTAACAAGAAAATATGAAATCTCTTCCAGAAAGCCAGGACTATAAAGCCTTTTTACAAAAGCTGGTTAAAATGCCAACCTGCTTCAAGGTGTCATCCGAGTACCCCAGCCAGGCGCACGATGTTGTGTAGGCAGGATAGCCATGTGCCAGCATTTGTGCTTCTGTAAAAACACAACGTGGCTCAGCACCTGGTCTCTTCCAAAGACCTTCAGAATCAGATGAGTTCCTGGGTGATTCAAATGGTTAAGCACTCAGTGGCTAACAGAAAGGTTGCAGGTTCTAGTCCACCCAGAGGTGCCTTGAAAGAAAGGCCTAGCAATCTACTTCTAAAAGATCACAGCCACTGAAAACCCTATGAAGCACAGTTCTACTCTGACACACATAGGGTCACCACGAGCTGTAATCGACTCAACAGCATCTGGTCAGAATCAGAACTGCCTGTGGCCAAGCTGCTCTCATGGAGAATCCAGCTGTTCTCCTTTTGACCCTTTCTTAACAGGGAGACACCCTTCACACACATCCAGCCGCTAGTCTGGCCTCCTGGCTAGCGTTCATCACTGTGAATCACTGAGGAGGTCAAGCCCGGGTGGTAAGGACAACCTCTCGGACTGCTCCACTCACCAGGGCCCTCCCATGCCCTACAGTGTGACTCAAAAGCCAAACGCCTTCCTGGTGACTGACATGGCCTCTGTACATTGAGGCCACACCCAGGAGGCTTCTTTCATCCAGGCCTAGACGTCTGTCTGGGGGCCTGGCTGCTGGGCAGGCCATTCAGGGGGACGATGTGCACCCTCAAAAGACAGCGACACTCAAAGTGGACAATGACAACAAAAACAATGACAGAAACTTTCTCACAGCCTACCTCTCTCTCTGTTACCGACTCGACCTTTCTGCAGTATTTCTGGAAAAAATAAAGAACATCATTCACTGTCTTAGATAACCAAGCATGCCACTACATCAGGAGATACCAAAAAGCTTCCGATTGCATCGAATAAGCGTGACTCACCGTAGGCCTCCTCCTCGGTCAAGACGTCGGTGATGTACCTGAAATCTATGCAGGACAGCAGCGTCTTGGGATCCTGCAGTGTGACAGGAGGGGAAAGGCCCTCATTTCAAAAGTGGATCAGGTTTCTAAGAGTCTGCTTACTCTGACACAGGGGTTGTGTAGAAGCTACATTGTCTGATTATGTCATTCCTCGGTGTCCAGTCCTTCACAGGCTCATCGGCACCTCCTGACGAAGTCCACAGACCCTCATGCTCTGACCCTCAAAACCTCGGCTCCAGCTATTCAACTAATATCTTTTCCTGGAAAGAGGGCCTGGCATGAGGCAAACCCTCAGGACAAGTAAACGGATGGACCGTCACAGGGTGTCGGTCCACGCATCCTTGCTCCACATGCTATGTGGGGTGAATGTGGCCCTGGAGCAGATTGACCCTGGGCTTCCTGCTTATTAACAGCACGACCGTGGGCAATTTCCTCTCCTGTAAAGTGGGGAGAACTCACAGAACTGGCAGGACTAGAGTGGGATGAAATGGAGGACTGCCCACCAAGCACTGGGGAGCATTTGCTGGCTTACCCACGCACAACCATGGGCTGTACTCGTACCTACCTTCTTCCTTTCCTACAAGCTCAGGGTGCCTCTGGCTCCTGGGAAGGACATGCTCTCGGTCTGGGCCTCTGGCTGGCACCTCTCTTCACCCAAACTAACAGTCCGTTTGGAAAGCCACCAGTAGCTCCATCCTTACTAATGTCTTAATCTAGCCCATAATACTCTAATATAACTGTTAAAAATTGTAAAAGCTCTTTCAACCTTGAGATTCTGCTTCTTCTGTTTTTTAATTTTATTGGGTTTTAGGCAAAACTTCACAGCGCAAATTAGTCTCATTCAAAAATTTATACACAAATTATTTTGTGACACTGGTTGCACTGCCCAAATGTGTCACTTTGTGCTTCTTTTAAGAGTCTTCGCAATGAAACAGGAAACAGGGTCCAAAAGAAGGAAAAGTCCACACTGGACTTTCTAGTGGCCCTCAAATCACTCGGTTTTGTGGTTGCCTCCTAAACCTCAGGAAAGGCTAATCTCAGGCCTCCTAACCCCCACATCCTTCACCCTCAGAGCCCCTCCCCCAATGCTGCCCTCAACCACGTCAGAGACATGGGTATCCTGGGCACTTTCCTCCAGAGAAGGAACCATGTCTACTGGTCCGGCAGTCTTTAATGTCATGTGTTGTTTTTCCTCAGTTTGGATGCACACTAAGTAATAACAAGAACCTTCAATCATGGACCACCCCAGGGGTCACCATGAGGACGCTTAAGCTCAGAGTGGTAAGTAACCTGCCTGAGTAAGCAGAGAAGCCAGGACTGACTTGGGCCTCCCCGGTCTGAAGTTCACTTCCCTTTAACCTGCCCATAGTTTTCCCTCCTCAGCAGTGAGGTGCTCATCCCTGCTATAAACAGGTCCAGGAGAAAGAAAACAGCCAAGTGCATATCTTTGTAATTAAACCTTGTGCCCTTCCCTTTAGAACTATACAGAGGGAGAGATCCATCATCTGAGCTTCTGGCCCTTGCTTTTGGAGTCAGAGTGACTGCATAGTATCTTAATAATAATACACCGCACTTTAGAGCTTGTGAAGCACCTTCCCCACTCAATCCTCAGGCCAAGTCTGTGAGGTACATAAGGAAGCTACGACTGCCCTCTTTTCACAGCTCAGGAAACAGAACCTCAGAGAATTTACGTGTTAAAGACCCACCCAGGTAGAGCCAGTGGCTGAACTCGGCGCTTCCCACTGGCCCACCCGCCTGAATGAGCACAGCTGTTTTCGCCTCATCGTCACTACAGTGATCAACAAAGTATGTATTTACTGATTATGAAAGGCAAGTAGTCCATGAAATCCATTTCATCTACAGAAACAACTGAAATATTAAAGAATTTACATACCATGTCAACAAGTAACTTCCATAGGGGCTTCAAGAAAAAAACAGAAGATTTGTAAGACATATGTGTAAACTATCCATTTTTTTTCTGATAATAAACACACTAGCAGCAAACTCTATCAGACAGGTACCTGACCTCCCGCCGCCCCCACTCCTCCCCATCTCTAATGCTGTCTGTGCCTTATGCTGTCCCCTTAACCCATCACCTCTGCTGTCCCTTCCCCTCCTTCTCAACCCTTCCTAACCTACTCGTACAATATCCTTACTACTGCCAACATCTCTCAGGGGAAAAACAAAACAGAACAATCCTCTGTATTTCTTTGGTGGGGGCTGCTGCGTCTTTGTCTTTAGTCTTTACGGGCCGCTCGTCAAGGAAGTGTTTGTTCCTTTGTCACTTATGTACTCCCCAGAACCGCGGAAGTGCTGGTTAGATTAGTTACCTTTCCCTCCTGCTTAGCCCACAGGTCCCACAGGGCATTGAGAACGGCTGCTGTAGCCAGATGCACAACGCCTTTCTCTGGGCCAATCTGGTTAGGAACAAAACACACCAGCACTACTTAGAAATGAGGAAGATATTTAGGTCTCCTAGCTAGAAACACGTTTCAAGAATTAAAAGACAGAAATGGAAACTCACTTAAAGCTTTAGAAGATTTTTTTTTTTTTCGGGACCATTTGAGAGTAGGTTGAAGACACCATGTCCTTTTACCCCTAAATACCTTAGTGTGTAGTTCCTAAAAACAAGGACACTTTCTTACATTACCATAATACAATGATCACAATCAGGGACTATAACATTGATAGAATACTTAAAAGACAGCCCATATTCAAATTTTACTAACTGTCCCAATAATGTACTTTATTTTACCCAGAATCAGATCCAATCCAGGATACATATTACATTTACTTGTCATGTCTCTTCAGTGTCTTTTCATCTGGAACAATTCTTTGTTTTTTTTAAATATTGAAATTTTTAGAGAGTACAGCTCAGCTGACTTGTACAGTGTCCCTGTATTTGGGTTGGCCTGGAGTTCCTTCATGATTAGATTCAAGTTACAGATTTTTTTTTTTTTTTTTGGTATAAATGCTACATAAATGATGATGTCATTTTGTTTTATTATTGGGGATGGTAACTTTTACTGCATAAGTTAGTGTCCACTTGGTTTCTCTACTCTGAAGTTACCATTTGCCCTTTCTAAGTAAGGAGACTGCTACTGCCTGCTAATTTTAGCATCCAGTGATGATTCTTATATAAGTTATAGCTTCGATGGTTGCAATACGGTGATTTTCTAATGTTATCATTCTTTGTATATTTATTAGTTGGTTTTCTACTGTAATGATGCGCTTTCCCTTGTTTGTTACATGAATGGACTCCTGGATTCTTATTTTATTCAATGAGTTATAAGCCATTACTATCATATTTGGTTTGATGCTGGAATTGTCTCAGATTCAGCCAGTGGGAGCTTCTTCAAGCTGACGCCTGTAAAGGCTAGTTTAACTTGATTTGCAGAAAGTTAAAAATGAAACCCACGGCAGTATGGAAAGTGCACGCTCTTGTGCCGTTCTCTGTGCACGGATGGGAGGCTAAGCAGAGGTAGGAAAGACATGTCTGGTATCAGAGGACAGGGCAAAGTCCAGGTGACTGCATTTTTCTTACTGTGATAGAACCCTTTTTCTAGACCCTCACTTTTTTCAAGCTTTGAACTCATGGCTCAAATGCACACCTACACATACTGAAGGCTCTGTGGTCTTCTGTCTACTTAACCTCTGCTTAACCTTATGCTTCTGTCCTTAATAACCTCCTCCCACAACTCTAAGACAACTCACATTCTCTCTCCACGAGAAGGTTGCCCATTTAGTACTTTATTCTCCAGAGTTAGACTACTTCTTCCAGTTCAGGGAGGGGGAGGGGGGCTTAAAGGAGCACAGATAGCTCTAAGGATCCAAATACGTCCAGATTCAAGTCTTACAGAAAAGAATCAATTATCTCAAAACATTGATTATCGAAATGGCTCAAGTCCTAATTTATCTAAATATTTTACTTTAAAATTACAAACCTGTCTCTATTTTTACATTTGTTGCAGCCAAAAGACCATCTTAAACCTTGACAACATTATTTACAAAAGAGGCCCCTTACCCATCGGAGCTGCCCATCACTGGTGAGCTGCCTGTAGAAGCCCCTAAAGTCGCCAACAATGTCCCTGAGGTCCTTGTTCAGCACATGCTGGGCAAGTGCATTTACAGCACAGACAACTATTAAAAAAGGATTTAATTCTTGTTTATATTTTGGTATGAAGTCAATATATTAAGACATGTAAACACCACAAGCTAACAGGAGCATTTTATTTAAAATTTTTTAGGTAAGAAAGCAGATGCTTTTTAAAAATTCCTCAAAATATGTTTTATCTGATTATCATAATTAATGTCACATATATCACACTTTTAATCCATATACTGAGCTTAATTTCTGAACAGCAAACACATTACTTGATTGGTTGTCATGTGCAAAACAGTACTATCAATCTGAAAGCTTAAACCATGCTCGAATTATTTTCCTCTCCACTTTCTAAAGTGTTCTACAATCAGATTCAAAGTCAACCCTTGCTAGCTCCTTGTTCCTAAGGAATAAGAAGCCTTTGACTTGTAGAAGTTCTGGTGGTGCAGTGGTTACATGCTCAGCTGCTAACCAAAAGGTCAGCGGTTTGAACTCACCAGCCGCTCCGTGGGAGAAACATGCAGCAGTCTGCTTCCGTAAAGATTTACAGCCTTGGAAACCCTATGGGGCAGTTCTACTCTGCTCTATAGGGTTGCTATGAGTTGGCAATGGGTCTGGTTTTGGTTTTGACTTATAGAATTTTTAAATTTAAATTTTTATTATTATCAAGTATCAAAAAATACCTTGAATTCACAATCTGTCCAATGCATTATTAAAGTTTAAATAAAACAAAATTAGCATCATCATATGTAAAATGTTCAAGTACATGAAAACACTGGGTTCATAAACATTAGATTGCTTACTGTTGACTTACTTATGATATACTCCATTTTCCGTAAGTAGGTCAAGGGCTAAACTTAAATTGGGTTGTTCGCATTATCATCACTTATTTATTTTTGATGTTTTACTTAAAAATTAAAAAGGTTTTGTTTAAGATGACGAATAAATAAAGTAACAAACCATACAGCAAAAACCCTTCTATCCTTTGCTCATTCTACACAGCATTTAGACTATGTATAAATTACCAAAGAGGCAGTGATGGTTCAGTGATAGAATTCTCGTCTTCTGTGTGGGAGACCCAGGTTCGATTCCCAGACATGCACATCAAGCATAGCCACCACCCATCTGTCAGTAGAGGTTTTGTGTGTTGCTAAAAGCTATAGCTGCTAACCGAAAGGTCGGCAGTGAGAATCCGCCAGGTGCTCCTTGGAAACCCTCTGGGGCAGTCATACCCTGCCCTATAGGGTTGCTATGAGTTGAAATCGACTTGACAATGACGGGTTTGGTTTTTTGTTTGATGATGCTGAACAGGTCTCAGTGGAGCTTTCAGAGTAAGACAGACAGAGAAGAAAGGCCTGGCCATCTACTTCTAAAAATTCAGCCAATGAAAACCCTATGGATCACATTAGTCTGCTCCCCTTGTGCATGGGGTCACCATGAGTCAAGGGCTGGCTTGATAGCAGCTTAACAACACCAAACGACCAAAATAATTAAACCAAGTCATCAACTTAACCCCAAAGCAATTAATTTATTACAAAAAAATAAACTGATAAACTTGTTGTTTGCTATTGCCATTGCTTCAGTATTAAAATTCTCAGATCATTTAATAGGATAGCTGTAGAAAAGCAGTTTTAGTATCAGATACTATAAGAAAGAAGTTTTTAAAGCAGTACCACGTGCTCTTAGGCCGTGCCTGGCCTTTGCGTGAAACAGCTCAGATGACTGTGTACTTGCTGTAGTCTACAGCCATTATGAGCCACCCATTCCATGTTCTCTAGGGCTTCTGTTAATGGGATAAATAATCATTCTAGTTCAGATATTCATTCCCTAGAACTACAAGACAACAGAATCCTCCTCACTCCTTGGTGTTCTTGGATTAAAGAAAATCTGAAGAGTAAGCGGCTCATAGTAAGCTATATTATTATCTATATCAAACCTCGGTATTGTTGATTTGATTGTTTCCATAAATCATGGCCTGAAGCACACCACTGGTTTGCAACATGATAGCCAACGTACTTAACAAAAAGCTGAGCGTGATCTCACTTTTTATGGCCCTAAAAGATGCACACAGTACTTGGATTTTCCTTGGTGAAAACGAGGCCACTGAAGGAGTTAACTAAACTTACCGCACTTGTCAGAAATTCAGCCGGAGTGGTCTGGCCCCCGGGTGGAGCACAGTCCACGTCAGACTTGCCTGTTGGATGGGGTGGGGGGGAAAGTCATCTGGAAAAATTTGGCCCTTGATGGCAGCTTCTTGCTGACTAAATCCAGGGGTTTTCTCCTGTCTCTCTACCTGCCTGAGGACCCCATTCCCCAGGACCCCCCAGCACTGGAGGGAGACGCAGTAAAAGGTTATGATAACTGTGGGCACCTGAGTCTGGGCAGTGGTACGAACACTTGAGGCTACTTTCCTGTCTCAAATTTCTTCCTTTTCCATCTCTTCTTTATTCTTTTTCTTTTCCTATCTTTTAAAAACTACATTAGTCTATTCTATACATTAAAAAAACCACCCTCTCTCCTCTCTCTCACACACACACAAACATAACCATTCTCTTCACAGTAATGAAGAAAGCACTCTTTTGTTTCTCTTTCTCTGGATCATAAAAGAATGGTCAGGTAAGTAAGCTGATAAATGCTGCAGAACGGGATGAGTTTACAGAAGTCCTTCATCTTTCATGTGAGTGCTGTGTGGCACATTCAGTGAGACGGCAGTGAGCCACTGAAATACGCAGCAAGGCTAAGTCGGTTCTGTCATGTTGTGGTCTGAAAAAGGCGGAAGCCAACATATGAGCACAAAACAGTCATTTATTAAAGTCATAGAGTGAAAAGGATTTACCCCAACCCGAGATGTATACCAGGACTATGTAATTTAGACTCTGTGTAAATTACCGGAAGGGCAGTGATGGTTCAGTAATGGAATATCTTGCCTTCCGTGCAGGAGACCTGGGTTTGATTCCCAGCCATGCACCTCAGGCACAGCCACCACCGATCTGTCAGTAGAGGTTTTGTGTGTTGCTATGATGCTGAACAGGTTTCAGCAGAGCTTTCAGAATAAGACAGACCGAGAAAAAAGTCTTATAGGTGGAGTGGGAATGGAAGAGGGGAGGGTTAGTGAAGGCCCTAATGCACGGACCTCAGCAACCATCCAGGGAGAGTTTAGGATCATCTTAGCCAGCACACAGCATGCTTACAGTCCCTCTGCTGTGGCCCAAGTCAGCAAGGCCCTAAAAGCAGCAGCTCCAATTCTCGGCTGTCTAAGGACAAAGTCTTGGAACCAGCGTAGTGCTTCCAATGGCCTGTCCCATAGTGAGGAAGGTGCTGTTGTGTAAGCTTGCAGAGTTTTACACGACCTTCGGGGGCTATGCTGTCCAGTCTGTAGTATGGAGAAAGACTGCAGCTTCAAAAAGTGCTTGACTTGCAACCAGGGACAATTAAGATCACAGGAGGAGCTAAAACACAGCTCACAAATCTGTCACGGTCAGCAATCACTATCTTGGGAAAACTCAAATAGTAAATCGATGACTTAATGGGGGGAGGGAGAAGAGCCCTGAATACCTTCCCAGTCTCCTCCTTCTGCCTGGAAAATTCCTAGTTACCCTGCAAGACAAACCTCAGCGCATCACGTGTGCTCTGAGGCCTTCCCTGGCCCTCCTGGGCAGAGTGAACCAGCCCCCTATCTGTGTATCTTGCACACACTTTTTAAAAAGAGTAATTCTCACACTGTACTATGAAAATTTCTTCTGTGTCTGTCTCCCAGATAAGTTGTAAGTTCCTTGTATGTAGGGACTCTGTCTTCTTTCTCTCTCTTTCTTTTAAAAATTATTTCTCCAGTGGCTCACAAAGTGCCTGATACATAGCAGCCCTCAAGACAAGTCTGGAGAATGACTGACTGATGACTGCTCACCAGCCCCCACGAACAGCTAGAACAGAGGTCACTTTGGTGCTATTTAAATTTAAAGTTCCAGAAAGGTTCCCTTGTCATTCATCCATTCATTCATCCATCCATCCATCCATCCATCTTCTTTCTCTCTCTCTCACACACACACACTCTATTTTTGTCTGCTCAACAACAGTTAAAAAATCTTTCAGTGGGTAAGAATTTAATTCTACAACTAGAGAGGGCTGACACTGCAAATACCCATGGAAGAGGTCTCCCATCACCACTGAAGTTATGGAATCTGTTTCCTCCCTTCTGGGACCTTCACTCTTCATCCGTTTACAACTTGCAGTGGATCCTCACGATCCACTGAAGTTGATCTGACAAAGGTCTCCCTTTAGTACTTCTTGAATTTTGTATCACACGCATGTATTATATATTCAAAAAATATAAACGAATAACTTATATTTGAATGCTCTATAGAGAAAGCACTCTGGGCTGGCAGGCGGCCAGGGCTCTGCCATGACTAGCTGAGTACCTCTCCGGGTCTCAGTTTCCTTTTTTTAAAAACGATTGGTTCAGGGGAAAAATGCAGAACAATTTCAAATTCTCACAGACTCCAAACTTCCTGGAGCCATGGAGGGTGGATGAACCCCTGAAACTATTGCCCTGAGATAGTCTCCAAAAATATCCTCTGAAGTCTCCTTAAAACCAAACAATAGTTTAGCTTATCTAGCAAAAAGGTCTGCCTTGAGCATTATACTCTTTTATGAACTATCTTTGGGATCAAGGAGCCCTGGTAGCACAGTGGTTAACAGCTTGGCTGCTAACCAAAATGTCGGCAGTTCAAATCCACCAGTGGCTCCTTGGAAACCCTATGGGGCAGTTCTACTCTGTCTGACAGAGTTGCTGATTCAGAATTGACTTGACGGCAGTGGGTTTGGTTTTGGGTTTTTTTGTATACGGGATCAAAGTGACAACAGCAACTTGAAAGATTAGATTGGAACCTTAGGAGGCAGTGAGCTTATGTTAATAAGGGAGGAGGGAGAAGCAACTCAGAAAAGAAGGGTGAGAATGGTTGTACGACTCAAAGAATGTGGTCAGTGTCACTAGTTATATGTAGAAATTGCTGAATTGGTGTATATTTTCTGTGTATATTATCAACAACAAAATAAATAGAATTAAAAAAATTTAAATTAAAAAACCAAACAAAAAATGAGGGGCTCATGATCCCCACTGAGAGCTGACCCAGCTCTGAGATGAGAGAAACTTAAACATGTGCATCCTAAAGACTCTCCTTTCCCAGATGAGACCTCTGCAGTCGGGCCCGGCCAAAGCCCTTCCCTGCTTTTCCTTTTTTTTTTTGGCCAGAAAGATGAGTGAATTAGAAACCAACTGGGTGTGAAATATTTTGAAAAGCACGGAAACTCTCGCTATGTACATCATGCTAAGCCTTGCCACGTGAGCTCACGTCTAGTGGCTCTTGCCTCCCTTGGTCACTAGCCCAGCTCAGGCTCTCAAAGCCCCACAGTGGCCAAAAGTCAAGAGCCAAGGAATAGCATTCTTGTACTTATGACAACAGAGGAATGGACAAAGATTCGAGGATTTTTCAACAGTTTATAAGCGACTGCAAGGAGAGAGGCCAAATTTTGTCAGTTTTTAGTTTTTCCAAATGAAACAAATAACAACCAGAAACAATGTTTTTACTCACTTCAAGCACTATAAATACAAAGGAAAATACAGCTAGCATTGGATCCAAGTGACAATTAAGCATTCTCTAACTTAAAGAGAATGTTCAACTCACCAACTTCAGTGCCTTTTCCCAGAGTAAAGGTAATTCCATATCCCTTGAGTCCATCTTCTGCATCAGTCTCTATTATGACATAGGCAGCCGAGTAGTCAGGGTCTGTGTGCTGCAGGAAAAGCATCCCCCCACCCAAATAATGCAAACATTAGAAATCCCAAAACATGAGCATGACATCACATAAGATTAGAAAATGCAACAGAGGATATGCAAGAAAAGCCCCAATCTAATGAAACCATTCATGTACCCCAGAGAAAACACAGGAGCTCTGAATGGACCAAGAATGTCCTCCTGAAGGAGTCAAATTATTTTAGCAAGTGTAATGTACACATTTTTAATGTCAGTTTGCAATTATGTCTTCTTTGGTCTTCAGCTCAGTTTTAAACCCCGAACAGCTATCTCAGTTCTTTGAACAGAGTAACATTCACAAGCAGCTTAAAATTGAACAAACCAAGGTTTCAGAAAGCTTTTGTGTAAAATTAGACTTATCCTTATTGCAGTAGTTTATAGCAGAGCTTAAAATATAATGGCACAAGTTCAGAGGAGACGACTGCAAGACAAATAAACTAACCCTTTTTATTGTTGTTGTTCTGTTTTAACTTTTACTATTAAGCAGTATTTTTATAACAAGTATTAATGAACTGTTATGAAACTCAGCACTGTGATATGGATGATGCAGAAGTAAAATAATAAGCCTGTCTCTAGAAACTTATCATACAGTGGGGAGAAGAAGCCAACACACGTGAACCAGGTGAGAAGAAGCTAAGACAGTATCAACTTACATGCTGAAGCGCGGTCGCTTATAAGTGCACAGAAGTTCAAGGGAGAAGAAGAGCAACGAGTAGTAGAACTTTGAAGGAGTTCCTGAGGGAACAAAGACCATTCGGATGGGCTGGGAAAAGCGGTAGACAAAAGCACCTGGGCAAGGGAGAACACACAAAACCCAGTGACCTTTGTGGGACGGAGAAGCAAAAGGCCCATGAGGGCACTGGCTTGGAAATGAATAAAGACAAGACTGGATAAGTGATACAGGGGCAGAAAATGGAGACCCCCAAAAAGCAAGAAGCAGAAAAGCTAAATGTGGATGCAACTATTAAAGAATTGTGCATAGGGGTGGGACAACTTATTACTATTATATAATCTGTATAGTGCTAGGCACTATTCTAAGAGCTTAAATGATTTAATTTAATCCTCACAGCAATATTATAGAGTAGGTAGTCATCCCTATCTTACAGATGTGGAAACTAAGTTTTACAGAGATTTAATAACTTGTCCAAGATAACAAGACTTGTAAGTTTTACAGGCAGAATTTAAATCCTTCTGTTCATCGTGTGGAGGTACGTATACAGGATGGATGGGAGGGCCTGAGTCTGGTGTCAGACCCCAGTGGGGGGAATTCAATGTGATGTGAACACCAGTTGTGCGTCAGAGATAGAGCACGTTTCTGAAGAGAGATGCAAACTGTGACAGACAGGCAGAGAGCACTGTTAGTTAAACGCACTCGAAGCTGGTGAAGGTTTTATGATGAAAATAGCATTTGAGCTTGTCAGCTGAGGCTGGGAGCTTTTCACTGGGGAAGGGGCATAAAGGATCTGGGAGGGAACACTATTTTAGGTGGAACATATAATTCCAGTTGCATATCTAGATGGAAGTAATGGTAACAGTGAAGGCTGTAAAGGGCACTAAAAAGAGAAAGACTGGCATGGACTCAAGGGTTGGTGACCAGCCTGATTTGCGTTCCTGAACAGGGAGTTGGGAGATGAGGCTACGAGGGAGACTCCATGAATTAAAATCCCACCGACAGTTCCTGGGTTACATGGAGAAGAAGCAATGGAAAAGGGAAACCTTTCACTGAAGCCTTTGATGAGGGTCAAAAGGAAAGGATGTGCCAAAGATGACTTTAAGCTTCTGAGGGCATGCTACTGGCAGAATGATCTCAGAAGGATCAGGAGGGAGAGCAAGGCTGGGGATGGAGATGATGAGTTCCAATTTAGACAGACTGTGTTTAGACTGGGAGTCCCTGGGTTGTTAATGTGCTTGGCTGCTAACTGAAAGGTTGGAGGTTCGAGTCCACCCAGAGGTGCCTTGGAGGACAGGCCCGATGATCTACTTCTGAAAAATCGGCCATTGAAAACCCTATGGAGCATAGTTCTACTCTGACATGCAGGGGGTTGACATGAGTCGGAGTTGACTCCATGACAGTAGTGGTGATGGCGTTTAGCATGAGGGGGAAAAATCCAACCGGAAATGCCCAGATGGCAGCTGAACTTGAAATGAGAGGGCAGGTCCAGAAATGAGATTTGGGAGTCTTTGGCAGAAAGGTGGCTCTGAAGCCATGAACGTTGAGACAGGTCTTAATGGGGGCATGCAGTGAGAAGGGGAGGTGTTGAGGCCTGAGCCTTGGAGAGGGAAGAAGGTGGGTTAGTATAGGAAGGAGAAAGAACAGTCAGAGAGGCAGAAGGCCAGCAGAAGAGGTGGCAGTAGACAGCATGAAATGTAGCTGAGGATAAAGGACACTGGATGCAGAAATAATAAGGGCAATTCCAGGAGAAGAAAGGAAACAGAAGTCCATTTCAGATTGAGGAGGAAGTAGACGCAAAGGACGTGAGGCAACAGACTTGGACCAGTAACTCAGAGTTTGATGAGGAAGGGCCAGAAGCAGAATGGGTGATAGACAGGTGCTAGGGTCAAGTAAAGACTTTCAAGGTAGGAAGCCCTGTCCATGTGGAAGGAGAGGAACCACTGGAGAAGGAGAGACTGAAGTCTGAATATGCTGGAGCAGGAGGAGATAAGAATGGGAGCCTCAGGAGTCAAGAAGGGTGGAGAACAGATTAGTTTTGGAGAAGGACATGACTTGAAGAATAAAGGGAAGGATGAGAAGTTTGCTTTGGAGACTTGTCTTCAGCCTTCTGGGTAAATTTGTCTTCGGTCTTCTCAGTGACGCAGGGCAATACCTTCTAGCTGATGAGGGTGCAGGGCTCCCCAAGGAGCTCACCTGACAATGAGGAAAGAGGAGGAAAAGTACTGGGAAGTGGTAAGGGGTCAGCTGGAGCTGGACTCTGAGCTATTAGCCCCGGGCTCTCTGGGACCCTGGTGAGTGCCTGAACAAGCAAGCAAAGAGTATATACACCAGAGGATGGTGTGCTCTGCATTTCTAAGAAATCATAACAGAAATCTGTGTTTTAACAGATTTTGAGGACACTTTCGAGGCTCATTTATGAAAATATCCTACTTCTGATCAGGAAATTTCACTCTGCTAAGTGCTGAACGTAGCGTAACTGCTGAGTCCAGCACACCGTGAGGGTGCAAGAAGCAATCACAAGAGTTATGGCAGTGGGGCCGAGAACTGCAAAGTAGCACATTCTATTAAGAAGGCATTTAGAATCAGCACAGAACACATATCTCCAGTAGATAAATACTTAAGTATTTATGAGCTTGCAACACAGATGTCAGATAACCTCTCCTCACCCAGAGGTCATAAACCACTCAGGCCCAAATTCCATTTCTTAAATTCTTCTACCTTAACACTCCACACATTCAAAGTACAGGGAAGTCCAGATCAGAATCCCTTCTGTTTCAGTTTCCTCATATGTAAATAATAATTATAGCCAATGTACTGAAGGTCTTCTCTGTCTCAGACTCGGCTAAGCTCTTTACAGGCATCTCATTTATATATATGAAGCAGATACTATTATTATGCCCATTTTACAGACAAGAAAACCCAGGCTTGGAGAGACTGTGTGGTTTACCCACAGCTGCTCAGCCTTAGAGGAGCAAAGGCAGTTGCACTAGATCAAACATCTGGATTTTACAAGCCAGGAAAATTTCAAACATTTGAAGATCACGAAGGATTGCCAAGTGGGTGTTTTTAAAGTCATTTACTATAATATATTTTTTAAAAAAGGCATTTAAAGATTAAAAAAAGTAGAAGAAATTAATCTCATAATAAAAGATATTATTTCACATTTAACAACTTTATTTAACAAGAAGCTTATATTATTAGCAATAACATGGATTCATAGAGGAATAGTTGAGATTAATAACCAGTTAACCAGTTGTCGTCAAGTCGATTCCGACTCATGGCAACCCCATGTGTGTCAGAGTAGAACTGTGCTCCACAGGGTTTTCAATGACTGATTTTTTGGAAGTAGTCACCAGGCCTTTCTTCCAAGGCACCTCTGGGTGGACTCAAACATCCAATCTTTTGGTTAGCAGCCAAGCGTGTTAACCATTTGCACCACCCAGGGACTCCTGAGAGGCTTATTTTTATAAAATATTTCAGGCACACAAAGAGTATATATAATGTAATGAACACTAGTGTGCCCTCCATCCAACTCAGGAAATAAAACATGACAGTCTGAATTAGAGTCCTGGGTACCCTTCCCTGACGCTACTCCCCTTCCTCTGCCGAGGTTAACTATTACCCTAACATTTACATTTCTCACTCACTGGCATGTTTTCGTATATTCACCACATACTGATGCAACTTTTTCTAGTGCAGCCATGTGGTCAGTGGAGATTCAAGGCCAGCACCAAGAGGGGCAGTGAGGACCCAGTGGGGGACAGAGCCCCTTCAGTGAAGACCCTGCACAGAACTCATATAATTGGGAATCACTGCACTAGGTGGTCTGGGGTTTCCGCTAACATTTTTTCTTTTTCTTTTTTTAATAATATTTTTTAAGTGAAAGTTTACCTAGCAAGTTAGGTTCCCATTTGACAATTTCCACACAAATTGTTCAGTGACATTAGTTACATTTATCACAATGTGTCAACCTTCTCTTCGTGTTCTGTTTGTTCCCATTCCAGTACTCTAGTTTCCCTGCCCCCTTATCTTCTCATTTTTGCTTTTGAGAAATTGTTGACGTTTTGGTCTCATACAGATGGTTTTTAAGTAGAGCACTGATCTTAAGGGTAATATCCTTTATTTGTGTGCCACGCCGCTATATCGCTAAAAGGTGATCTCAAGGATAGGCTGGTTCCAGGTTTAAAGTGTCTCAGGGCGATAGTCTCAGGGAGTCCTCTGTTCTCTACTGTTCCAGATATCTGGCTCCCCCCCCCCCACCTCCAACATTCTCAGTAAGCAAAACGCCCTTCAGCTGTCAGGAAGGAGTAAAAGCCCATGCCCTTACTTTACTGTTTCTCGGAGGACTGAGAGGTGCGTAACTCTACATGACAAACCGTTTTTATAATCGTATTTTCAGGCAGTTTCACTGGCCCAAGCCTTTGGCCTTCTGGGCAGTCAGGCATCTCTCAAGTGACCACAGTTCTTAGGAACTTGTCTGGTTTCTCGGCCCGACTGTGACTCCTTCTTTCCACTGGTGGGCCTGAGAGGCCCAGAGAGGTTAGAGTTTTCTCCAAGTCACACAGCAGGTTGTGGCGGAGGCGGGATGACCACCCAGAACTCTCACTCCAGGATTCCTGGTCTCCATCACATCCAACCCCATCCAGTTTTCGGTACAGAAGCCAGCTCTGTGCTTTTGGGTTTTGTTAGTGGGGACTCAACAAAACCATCTTGTTATTGCTGTATGTTACACATCCCACCATTTCCAGCAACATGGGAATCGTAAATGTAAAAACAGAAAATTCTAAACCCCAGCAAAAAGAAAAAAATCCAGGAGAGTAGAGAGTTTCTGGATACTTTTATTCCCCAAAGGCTAGAAAAAATTTTCTCCCACCCCCGCCTCCCACTTTTCAAAAGCAAGGGTTCCAAAGCTGGGAACCTCCCTGGACACGCGTGCCTCCCGCGCCTCAGCCCCCCGGACGTAGGACGGGTTCGGGGCAGCCCTGCCGGCTGTCACGCTTACCATGGCGTCCGAGCCGTGGCCCCCGAGCGACGTGGGGAAGCGCACGTCGCAGACCGAGAGCCGGGAGATCCTGCCGCGCACCATGGTCGCCAGCGCCCTCGAGCCGCTCCGTCCCCGCCGCCGTCTGCTCCACTCGGGATAGCGTGTACACGCGACAGGGCGGTGGCGGCCTCCATCCGGACCGCGGCACTGATTGGCCGCAGGGCCCGGAGGGCGCGACCGCGCACTTCAACTTGGCGTGACGGGAGTTGTAGGCCCCGCCGGCGCTCCGGCGGCGCGCCCCTCTCCCTCCGCGTTTCGGGCCGACATCGGCCCGCGCTACCCCGGCGCGGACTCCAGCAGGCTCGTGGCGGGCCCTCGGGCGGGGACCCTGCTCCGACGCGGCCAGCGGCCGCCTGAGTTGGAAAGTCGAGGAATGACCTGCCCCCAAGCGCCGCTGAAGGCGAAGCCGATCTGACTGGGGTGCAATTGCGTAGAAGCGGATTTTGGCCTGTGGCTCAGCTCCTGACCCAGAGTCTGCTGGTCGGTGGCTGCGCACCCAGAAGAGTAGTGGGCTGGAAAATCCTAGGTCCCTTTCATCGTCCTCAGCGTGTTTGCCATCTGATAAATCATGAGGCAGGCATCATTGATTGCACCCCTACTGATACGGATGCTTCAATGCATTATCTCTTATCCCCTCAAACTGCAAAGTAGGTAGGTCATTATCATTTTATTGGTGACTAAATGGGGATTCATTTAGTGACTTGCCCAAGGCGACACAGCCAGTTAAGTAGCTATGTGCCCTGGATGCAAAGCCTGGGCCCTGTCCTCTGGATTGTGGAGATTCTTATTTTATGGAGCTGTGGAATCCCTCAGAACAAGGTGCAAGCTATGGACATTTCCTTTTAAAAAAAAAAAAGTGTACACACGTTTCCATAACATTTTTGAAGTTTCACTGATCCTTTGCCTTGCTGTGTAGCACACTGCCTTTCAATACCTCAGGTGAATGCTTTGAAAATTAGATGAAATGTTTGGAAAGTAAACAAAAAAACCAGTTGCTGTCCAGTCGATTAGGACTCATGGCGACCCCACGCGTGTCAGAGTAGAACTGTTCTCCATAGGGCTTTCAATGGCAGATTTTTCAGAAGTAGATCACCAGGCCTTTCTTCCTAGATGCCTGTGGGTAGACTTGAACCTCCAAGCAGCTGAGCCATTAACTGTTTACAAGCTAAGAACTCTGGTAGTAATGCTACAGATATTATATTAATATGTGTGCCTGTGGGTATGGCAGGGACTTTTTTCAGGGACACCCAGGTCAACTCTCTTGCTGAATGATCTGTATAACCCGCCTTAGATTAATTCCTTTGGCTTAAGCTGAGATCATCAACTCAAATGGCTCAGAAGCTGGGCAAGGAACATCAAGCAAAGGGTGGGAGTGAGGCAGTAGGTACCTGTGACTGCACACTGAGGGCTCTTGCTCCTTTATAAAGGGGTAGCCAATTACTCAGCTCCAGCTGATTGTGGTCCTGTAGAGACTAGCTTGCTATCTTCTCATTTTCCAAGGGTAGTCTGAAATCCAAATGTTGGATTTCTAAACATTAGCATCTAACTTAATTTCTTTCCCCTAAAACACTGTGCAGGCCAAACAAAACAGTTCTATGGGGACTTCCGGGCAACACGGCGCCATAATCAGAAGCACCACACCATCCCTCCACAGCAAAGATCAGAAAAACTAAGTCAAACAGTCACACGTCAATCCTGAAACCCTAAGCATCAAATGAAGAGATAAAGAACTCAGCCAAGCACCAAATGGAATAAGAAACTGATCGAGAACAGAGAGGGAGGAGAGATACATGCAGAGGTCCCCTATCAGCTACCGCAGCATGGATCCACCATCTTGGAGTCCCATTAGAGATCAGCGAACAGGGGTGCAAGAAAGCAGCTTCACAGAGCTTCCAGCAGGAGACAGAACAACCGGTAACCAGCGATATATGCTTTCCCACCCCCAACCCTTCTTCTTCACCCCCACTTAATCTCCTCTGCTTCATGAAGCCACAGTCTCCTGGCCGGGAAGCACCAGCTTCACCCTGGTATCGCTTGGATTCCACCTGCCTGCACTGGCTGGCTCCCTGAGTGCCTTGTGTTGGCTGCTGGTGATGCTTTTTTCTGCTTCTTTAGATTTCTTCCTTACCTCTCACCACCTCCCCCTCCTTCCTTTCAAATACCTGGCTCCGTGCACCATCTTTGCTTCTTCCTGAAAGGCTGCGAAACACCGCTTGACTGTGAAACTGCTTCCCAGCCAGTGCCACCATGCTGGTTGGACCCCACGGCTCTTTTGTTTGCTTGCTCTAATTTGTTGTGTTTTGATTTGTTTGTTTGTTTTCTTTTTCTTTTCTCGGCTTGGGAGCCCCTTCTAGCTGGGCAGTACCACGCGGCTTGGAAGCTACTCCCTTACTCTGCGCAGACACACAGGGACATCCCTGGGGGGCATTTCTTTTTTCTTTGTTTTGTTTTCTTCTCTCTCTTATTCATTTTTTGTCTTTCTTCATTTCCAGTTTCTCAATTTATTTTTTTTCTTTTACCCTTTTTATTTTTTTTATTTTTTTCCCCATTTCTCAGTCTCTCATCTCTCCACTCCAGTAGCAAGCTCCCTTACCACTCTTTTTTGTTTGTTTGTTTGTTTTTGGCTTCTGTTCCTCTCTCCTCTCTCTCCTCTTTCCCATACCCATCTTAGCTCCACACATCAGAGTCTACCCCCCCTTCCTGCCTACCTCCACCGTGTGCTGAACATCACACTCCCAAGCAGCACAGGCACGACCTATTGGAACCTGCCCTGCACTGATTCCCAGTTTGCACTGTCAGCCCTGATACGTGCCACAAACAACCCATCCCAGCAACTCTCCTTCAGCTGGACCTGCCCTGCTGTACCATACCTGAGTGACTGACCCTGCCAATTGGAGAAGGAGGTGAGAAGTATTGTGCCCACAGATGAGCAAACAACAGAGAACACACAGCCTGCCTGCTCAGACATAACCAAACAAAACAAAAAAGCAGGATGAAACAAACAAATCTACAATCAATAAACAAGGAAAATAATCACTGAATGCCCTGAAGACAGCAGACAATATCAAAACATTTACAAAAACAAGACAGGATGGTTCCAGTAGGCGTCCAAAATAAAACACCAGATGACTTTCCAGTAGAAGAAGAGGCACTAGACTTAACTAATAGGGAATTCAAATCTCTAATAATTCAGAATTATCCAAGAG